CCTTCACCAGCCTCGGTCGGACCTCTCTACCCAACCAACCGGTCGCTAACCCCTCGAGGCATGAGTGAGCAGTTCTCGACAAAATATGAAGTGCAGCCCGCGAAGAGGAGAAGAAACAATTGATATATGCCATTCGATGTGTTCTCGTTCAGTCGTATATCTTCTCTCCACGTTCTTAGGCTTACGTGCGAATCCATAGGGAGAGTCATTTTCATGTGCACGCGCGAACAAAGAAAAATCAACGAACTGACTTTTGGTTCGATTTTCTCGTCAGGTAGATTCATATAAAATCGAGAGACAATAGGGAGACGTATACACGTGACCGTCATTAAAGATAGAACACTTGTTATTGAAGGATACCACTTCGTCCACTTCATGTACCTCTTTGTGCTCGAGATTCGTCAAGGTTTCGATACATAGATTTGGGGCACTCTCCTCGATGTCGTCGAAATTGATGATTATAAATCGATATACCAGCCATAGTTGATGTTTTCAAGAAGCATGATGAGCTCATGATTCATCATGAAAATCAAAATGGATCCTCTTTACTTCACTCCAATTGAACAGATTCTTGAAGGAACATGTCCAGAATAAAATCGCTTTACCACTGTATGCACATCTTGGTCCTAAGACTTATAATGCCGAGTGAGAGTAGACTTATTAGTCTACTCCCTCTAGTTACACCATAGCTGAATCCAGAGCTAGAGTGATAATCTTCTCAATATTGAGTCGATTGTTGAAGAAAACATAAATACTCCCACCTACGTACAGTTTGCCTCGATCACTATTTAACACATATGCGAGCTTTTACCAATTGCTGTAAGATGTTTACGAGTTAGAGTCTCTACTCTTCATCCGCAAGCAATGTTGATCGTTTTGAATAATATAAAAATTCAAGAATACTCACAGAAAATTATCACAAATATTTCATATAGATCATCTAGTTTATTTAGTGTGTGACATTGAGAACCATATGACTTTTATCTCTTCTCTTCCATATTCAAACATCAAGAACTACTTTGATCTCAAGTACATATTTCTTGTGATTTGATATCCTTGCTGGATGAGTTCGCACTATTCTAACAGCGATCTAATTACTGATTTGGAAGATGTATTAAAAATATTAGCTAACTTGAGAAAAAATAGAGAAACCTCATATGACTCTATGAATTGTGCACATAGAAGACAAAAAATTGTATAGTACAATCACTCCATACGGATTTAAGTATTTGATGATGAAGATCGTATTAATACTTTCTCCTAATTTAAAGATGTTCATTCATTTCCAAAAAAAGTGAAGGATTATTCAGAAAGATTTCACTTCTTTTCTAAATTATTAGTCACTTACAACAACTGAATGTAGGTCTGTATCACATTGAAGTTATCACATCTGATTCTTCTCATAAAATCTCACCCTACATTCATGGTATTCAAAGTTCAAACATTAGAATATAGACTTGAAATTACAACCTACTTACATATATTGTATTTCCTCATACATATAGTGTGTATTGCATAGCTATTCAAAATTTATACTATATTCTCTTTTCGTAAATAAGAAAACAAAATTTTCTACCCTAAGCCGCTGATAAATCTCCTAATTAAAATTTTATAGATATATGTTGAAAATACTCAATGATATCATAGTAACTGCAAATTTTAAAGAGACCAAAATACGGGATAGAATGCAGAATAGAATAGACACGATAATTTTTTTAAACAGATTTAAGTTTTAGCTGAAAAAAATGAAGATGAAAAATGAAGTCCTTATATAATAGATATTTTAAAGTTTTAATACGACGTTAGCCTATAACCAAATCGTAGGAAGAGAAGAGGAGACTTTTGCTCAAAGATGCTTGTAAGTTGGAAAGCTTATAAGCATCACATTGAATACAATAAATTAAATTAAGATTCATTATATTAATGTAATGTAGATTCAGATTTCATCATAAATTGCTTCATAATCATATTAAGCAGTTTATGTTGAAACTTGTTGTCTAACAATCTATGCAGTGAACCTCTTTCAAATTATTTAGATAAAGGAGGAAAAAGAAAGCAGATATAAAGATGAGTCTAATAAAACTTACGTGATTGAATTTTTTTTTTCAATCTTATATGAGATCATATGGCAATATTCTAGCTCATATTAAATTTAAAATTTATTTCAGCTTAGAAAGAGATAAATTGTTGTTTTGAAAATCTTAATCATGGTGTAATAACTGAAGAGGAAATTTTTTGATACTATGAGTTTTCATTCAAATACATATTTACTACACATGAAGAATCATGAAGAATTTATGATAATCCAAATGATTTTGAATTAAGTGAATCTACACTATAACAAGTTACAAAAAGCCTTACACCTTGTGCTTGAACCTATTTTTCTAGAAAAATAGGTTCATAGACATGTTCGTATCCACCGAAACTGTCACAGAGCCTTTCCCGGTGGTCAATGATGTACTTATAGAGATATATCTAGAGTGAGTATGATAAATAAAATTTTGAATTATTGAGTAATGAACATCTACTTATTATCTGCTTTAGTTATTCAAGTGATCGATACACTTGAACATTCCTTGATGTTACAATATTTATTTCTATATTTATTCACCTCAATATGATAGCAAATTTAACTGACATTTGAATGGAGTTAAATTTGGCAAGTACACTGACACGGTATACACCGTTTTGTGCAGTCAGTGTACTTACAACTCTATACATCTGTGAGAATATTTTCGTCAAATGGTTAGATCCTTTCAGCAATATTTGTACTTTTATTACTATCATACGGTCACAACGTCGTTCTTGTTACGTGGCTTTAGAATAATCCACTATGTTTTGTGGTACATTTTGTGGTAGTTTCGTATGCGACAAGGAGCAGCATTTACCCAAACCAACATAAGTGAAGCATCTTTGATCCACCTGGATAAGTTAACTACGTTCATGACCTAGGTACGTTTGTTTCTGCTGTAATAGATAAGAATTTTAAACAATGGATATAGAATGAATGTACCTGCAATGCATGTCGGTTGTTACCAAGGTCAGCTGTTAAACGTGCTTTATTTCACTAGTCATTATTCTACACCCACGACCATCTCAAGCCTATATGTACACATAACAACATGTAGTACATGAATGTTTAGTGTGTACAATATGAACGAGCTCAAGGAACGACAGTATAACCATTGCGAAAGTTTGCTGGTCGCAAGTTTTACATCTGTAGCTGGGTTCAGCAGGTCTAGTTCCAGTTTGGAATTCTTCAGGTCGTCTTGAAAAAAATGGACCTCACAGATTGAACATTAATTATCTTCCACTTGAGTATGGCTTTCTGTTATACTGTGTTGACATAAACTTGGTAAAGTACTACATTAGATGAATTTCATGGTAGCAAGACCTTGACAAGGTCAAGATTTGGACAACTTGATTCTGAGAACAAGATTCAGATATCTGAATTCTAGCTAGAATGTATGCATTTTAGGCTAAGATTTCTTTCTTTCAGACGATTTCCCGGTCATTTCGGTACTTTCACGTTCTAAGATCCGGCGATCTAGATCTAATCTTTCTAATTCAATAACTTTGACATTGTACCGAGTGCGTGTTCCAGCTGTTACTGCGCACGGTGAAGATATACATACGATGTAATCCACAATGGCAAAAGTCCTTCTCGAGTGAAACATTCATGTGCGCATGAACCCACGAAATCGAGGAGATCCTCAGTAAATTTAAGTATTACGACTGGTTTTGATGAGCAATCTTCCGACAGGTTTTTGCCGTTACACAAGAACTCAGTGCATTTGCTCATGACTGAAGTTCGCTCAAATCTGTAGACGTCTTGTCTTGTTGGAACACAGCACCCAAGAGGAAAACTCGCCATTTTGAAAGTTGATCACTGTCTATTGGCACACAACGAAGACAGCTTGCCCTCAAAAATTAAGTATTCACTGGAAGCGATTGTGCTGTTCGGACTGCGGGCTTGCGCCATGATAAGCATTTGACCGTCGGGCAACACATACAAAAACCAGCCTCATATCGATTGAGTATTTGTACCAACTAGTCAGTTTCAAATTCCAACGATTCGTTTTAGTCTGAACGTTCAGGGTAGTAGCCAGCTTTTTCACCTTAGAATGTCGCTATTCTGGACGTGAGCATAGAACATAAAAGCAGGAACGACTAGGCCAGACCTGAGCTTCTGCAGTGCTTAAGGAGTCTATCTATTCCGCATCGCTGTTCAGAGCCTTCTTAGAACATCTGTGAACACCTATATAGCATCTATGTAGCGTACAAGGACAACCCTCAATGTTTGGTACTACTGATACTCGGACGTGGAGCACGAGATGAACAAGTCCCATAACCTATTTCCTTCACGAAACAACATTCTCATACTAATACTCACAGGCAAGTGAAGTATATTCCGCTCGTAGAATGCGTTAGTGTTAGTTATTACATGAGTCGACGTTTGGGCATACACCGACATTTTAGTGCTTATGACTGGACGGCTTGTCCTTACCTTCAAACATGATTCCTTTCCCTTCATGTACTATTCATGTACTTCAAGTGCAACCTCCCCACACCACAATGAAAGCAGGTTGGATCTTGGATAAACATCGTCTTCAGAAGCACGGCCATACCGGATTCGAAACTAGGCTCGTCCTGATGCCACTAGAGTAATCCTCGGGAAGCATGGAAAAGAGAGACTAGATCTTGCTTATCGTGCGGACTACAGGTGTACATATTTTGCACAATTCTGTAGCTAGTGGATATTATGAAGACGAAGTCACTTCCTGCAAGTAGAGTACCTTGATCATGATCCTGCACCCGTACGAACATTCGACAAGGTAGCCAAACTTGAAGTACCTAGCAATACTGAGTGATTCTTGCTCCGACGCTAACGTTAAAAACGACCGCACACAGCAGCAAAGACAGATTCAGATACAGTTGCATTCCTACACCCTGTGACTACATACATTCGAACTCAGTTTTGACTGTCAAGTAGTATTCACCCCACTGTGAGTCTAAACACAATCCTCTTCGTGAATGGATTTGTCACGAGCCAGAACTTCATCTTTATGTAACCCTAACGCATACACCCTTAGCGTGAAGAGACAAAGGGGAGAATACAACTACCTTTCAACTAATCTATATTTTCTATCGTTCCCACGCCATCCTATCTTCTGAGTGCTTTATGGAACAGGAAACACCTCGAATTTCCACGAGCCACATTCTCCATCAAGCAACCCCCTGCCGAACGATAGAAAGGGGAAGCGAGACCGTATTTTCTCTTCCCTATCTATATCGTTGCCAACTTGGAACAATATTCGTGGAGAACCTGAAAGGAAAAGTCGTGGACCTTTTAACGGGAACATTCAATCGCTAGAAACCTGACATGAGTCAATAATTTCCTAGACTAAAAGAGCAAGGTACCCCAGCCTTGGAACTCATCCACAATGAAGGTTTTCGTGTTGAACCTGTCGCCCACCGTATCAACTATACAAGTAACCATAACATACACGCTGCAAACCTGGAGTGAAAGCTTGCAAGCATACTGCGGATAGATGACAGGACAAATGAAGGCTAATAGACACTATTTACAGCTTAGGAACGGGTAAGATAATGGGGACGTGATGGTTTGGTACTTATCCAGCCATTTGGAATGCTATCGTTGATATGGTACTTTGTACATGAATTATTTGCGCTTGGTGAAACAATAATTCCCCATCTAATCCCAATTTCTCTCCATCTCTAACCTCACTTTCTGGATCTGCACGAGTGGTCTCACATCCTGACGTGTACTTCAGCCCATCAAGATGTTCTTGACTTTTTCCGTGATATCTTTCCGGACTTTGGTATCTGTCAGTTGAAGATCGGGCTTCTCGATCAGCAAAAACCGATATACTTCCCACGGCCGCTTCTCCACCACATGCCTTCCAATGTCTGCCTGTTTTGCCCAACAAGAAAAAAAAGACTTTGTTCAGAAATTTTATTTATGCTCAGCTACGTCGCGGCAGCAGTCAAGAGAGAGTGGAGAAGACGACGTCTTTTTAAAAAACATCAGAACAGTTTTGACGTTTGTAGCGTGTATAGGGGAGAAAGAAATACAGCAAATATGCAGCAATACCATATAAATGCCCGTCGCTTGATAGAAATCATCATAAACCCACCTACATACCAACCTTCTAGACGGTTACAATATCCACGGCAAGTCTGAGAGAAGCTACAACTGACCTTAAAAATACAAATACCAAAGGGCTTCTCCATCAACGCGTGAGTAACATCGAAAAGAACACGTGGTCTTCCTCTTCCACATGCCTCTATTGGAGTAGCTACCAGCAGTTCGGTGTCAGGACCCCTCGTGACGACTGACACTCGCAGTGGATTCGTCAGCTCCCGGAGCAGAGAGTCACATAACGCATCTTGCTTGTGCTGCTCTTCGATTTTCCTACCGTCTTTCAAAATGAACAGACTTATTTCACAAGCTCCCTTCTCCAAAGTAGAGATCCGGCCGAATGCAACCTGACCAAAGCAGAGCAGAGCGTACTCCATGAGTAATCAATGCTGGCCTTACGTTAAACACGGCCCGAAAAGAAATCAAATGTGCTCTCTGTAACATTACGAGTAGTCTGTTGAATCTCTCGAACGATAATAGTGACATACCTGCATATTGTTGTCTTTCAAAGTTCGCATACAGTCGTAGAACAACCCTTTCCTGTCTCTGCACTCTATTTGCATAGAAGTGTGAACAGGACTCACTGTGTTTTCCAACTCCAGCTTGGTCATCGTCGGTAGTGTAGGGCAGCTTAGAGTCTTGAATAAATTTTTGCCACCAGAACTGACAAGATCATACTGCCCTTCGTCAAACAAGTCCTTGGGAACCAACGCCGGCAGGTGCGGTGCACAATCTAAACCGCTGCATTCTGGGCCTGCTAGTTTCAATTCGACAAGCGTGCCTTGACCTAGAGATAACCTAATTTTCTCGCAGATGACCTCTCTGCGATCTTTGTCCAAAGGTTGCTTTCCACTGCGATCAAGATAACCGGGCATCAGCATATGAGGTGACAGAGGAAATATAAAGGAAAACTTCAGAGGTTTTGGACTCTCCATATGGCAGATGTCAAGTCATGGCGGGATTTTATATCAGTCGCTCAATCGTACCTCTTGTCATATATCCAGAAAAGGTTGACAGCTTTGCCCTCCGGACTAGTTGATACTTTCACCTTGTGTATGGTGAGTTCAAGTTCCCACAGTTTTTGTGTCACCACTGTAACTCCACATGGAAGATTCAGCCACCATCATCAATCCCATTTCCGCGACATTACTCACGAGACCCCGATAAGTCCAAATGTTGCATTTCATTCGCGTGGCAAGTATCCAAAGCCACATGCAGCTACATCTAGTTTAAAATCAAGCTCACACACTTTCTCCAGCAAGAATTTCAGCCATACGACTCCAGAGGATAAGAATTTCAGTCTATGCTAAAATGGAAAGGTCTATTGAAGATGGGACTCGGTTCTAATCCCCAGAATATGTAAACCATTTCAACATACTGAAGATGCATCGGAGACGTAGGCATATGATCAAACCTAGCAAGCAAAACAACGGTACCTACGATGTGGAAGCACTTAAGTCGAGAGTTTTCTTTTTAACCGAGTGTTCGTAAGGTCACGAAATACAAGCCAGTCACCACGTATGACGTGCCAAAACTACTCAATGTCATGAATGATTTCCAGTGGAAGAGGCATGTTCCCCATGAACAACGCAACGCCGACGCAAAAAAAAGATGAGACAAGATTACGATGAATGAAGTGATAATGAGGTGCATGGTTCCTGAACTCTCGTCCAAACACCAAGACACATCACTACATCGGGTCATCTCAATACATCACAAGTCCTGGACTTGAGAACTTACAATTAAGAAGCCCCGTTCTATCGACGGCGGAGACTTGAAGAAGAAATATTTCCGGGGCTTTGTCGACAATAGGCTCCGGAGGAAGAAGCACGCCATGATGAGAAGGGCAGGCAGCTGCTAATCTTTGCTTAAGAAGCTTCCAATTTACCTCGCCGTAGATTGACGTACTACGAGGAACAACCCACAAAACTACAAAGCACCATCTTCCGTCCGTGGACAAATCTGCGACGAAAGAAAGCCCAAGGGTCAAGATCGAAATAAACAACCAAGGTAAAAAACTGTACATGGATACAGGTGAGCAGAGAAGTGATCCCGATGTCATGAGCAACACTCGTCCTAATGCATCTAATTTGGTGAGAGAAATATGAGACTTGGGATTAGATCTCACCTCCTCGGACAACGGTAAGACCGAATTCGAAGACAATGCGAGCAAAATCACATCCGAGGCCGATTTTGTCAGGACAATTGACTGTGATCTCACTCGGTTCGCCTGCTCCCTGACCTCGCCTCACACCCACGAACTCATCGCCGTAGTCCTTCATTATCATATCTCAACGCCCATGGATCGAACTCCCAATCCTCCTCTCGTTGTTTGCTTCTGCTACTCCTGCTGGCCCCGAATCCGAAACCCAACATTGCCCTCTCACTCCAACCCTCTCACTCGCTCTCCACAGTCCGCTATTCTCTCTCTCTCTCTCTCTCGCTACTCTCTCTCTCCCGCGGGCGTATGGCAATCAGTCTTCTCAGACGGAGGCAGGCGAGGGCACACTCTAGGCGACACACAGAACGATCGCCCTCTCAAGAAGCGATGGTTCGTGCGCAGAAGCGGCGCGACAGAGGTCCTCGGTGAGCATCGCGTTCGGAGAGGAGTGAGCGACAAGAAGACCGCGCTGTCGTCCAAGGCAGCGCGTCGCGCAGCAGGCCATGGCGGACGACGAGCCCCGGGCCGACGATGATGATGCAACGAGGCCCTAGCGGCTCCAGTCCTCGTTCGCCTCGCCTGCTGCTGCGGCTGGATGCAAGTCGACACTCCTCGCTCGCTCGCTATCCGCGGCTCAGCTCAGCTCGGCTCGGCTCGGCTCCGCTGCTCGGTGCCTCCCCGCAATGTGCCCGGGGCTCAGCTCAGCCAGTCCCCATGCCCTGCCGTGCGCTGCTTCCGCTGCTGCACACGAAAAAGTCCACTAAACGGCTTTCTTGATGTCGGCCCTCGCGACATCGCCCGCTCCTGTCTGCCACCCTTTCCTTGGCTGCATTCGGCCCCCGCCTTTTGCTTTCGCTTTGCTTGCCTGGACCAGTGCCGGTGTTCGGGGACGGCTGATGCTCTGCCTCCTCGCATGGGCGACCGGCCCCGCCCCTCTGCCGGTGGCGTCCACGCCCGGCGCGGCCACAGTCGCCTGGGCCTCTCCGCGGCCGGCAGGCGGCCCAACTCCTGTTCCCAGCCCAGGCTCATCTCATGACATTCCCCCTCCCGTCCCCGCGTGCTCACAATTCGCCGAGGGTCGCGCTGCCACTATCAGGTTTGAAAAGGTTTTATAAATAAACCCGTAATAATTCATTGGTATATTTTAAATTTAATCCTATTATCAATCATAGATTCCTCTGCTGTCTGTTATCATCTTTAATTTAATTTAATAATAAACGAGATACGTTACAAGTGCGGGTCTCAATGTAGAAATTATTGAAATGAAAATCATTGAAGTTGGTATTTATTAAGACTTTCTCAGAAAATATCACTAACCCATAATTATTCAATGTTAAGAACGAGTCCGGCTTTGATAGCGAAAATAGATCCCATGATAATACTGATTCCTATAAATATAAATATTATGTTACTACACTGATTTGTATTGATTAGGTACTAATATTCTATTATGATCGATTAAATTTTAATCAATCAAAATCATTGTTGAAATCAGGTTTTATAGAGTTTTTAATTTACCTGAAATTACTTTCAATACATATCAGGTTTTTTTTACCCTTGCGCGGCCAGTGCCGGAGCACCGCTTGTCCAGCCTCGCCGGAAGACGCCGCCGATCGTTCGGAACAATCGCGACGCGGGAGTGGCCCGGGCCCGTGCTCCGGTCGGCGCAGTGCGCACTCCACCGGCCAGTCAAAAACCGTGCGGCTCGGACCCGAGTCCACCCAGAGCAGGCCCATGCCATGCCACCCCATCCCATCCCATCCCATCGGGGAAAAGGGTTGGCTCAACCGGGGCCCCAACCCCACCACAGGAGCCGACGAGGTGAGCCCGGGGGATGAAAGACTGGGCAGTTCGGCAGCGAGCGGGCGGGCTCAGGTCCGGCCCTAAAAGCACATGATGACCTAGCGGACCGACCTGTGGCCGGAGGGAGGGGAGCCTGCCTGCGTGCCTGACAAGGCCAAACAGAATTCTCCGGGCGATTCCGGATTCGCGATCATGTTCCCACCGCATCCGGTTTGCTGCAGAATCCGGATCCAGATTCACCCATATATAAACCTGGCGACGGCCCTTATCCTGTCTCCTGGGCAGGTCCCGGGAATATTCGCGCGCACCTCCCCCGGGCTGCGCACTTGTCCCCTCCACCATCCGGTTCCTCTCAAACCTAACATCTCCCCTCCCCACCACGTCTGGTCTGCCGTCAATGCCAGTCAGGCCCGCTCCGTGACCTCCGTCCGTCTGGCCAGGCTTGCCATGGCCCACGGAGCGCGCGCAGGTCACCGCCATGTCACCCCGGCAAGTCTTCTCGAGTAATTCCACCGTCCACTTTCGCCATCTACGCCCTCGTCCTACCAACCGCGGGCGACAGGCAGATATTATTATGGCTGTCGTTGGATCGGTGACCTTCGCCCATCGACTCCGTGCCTAGACTCCGTTGCATCATTCTCATCGTCTCGTCCATTCCTACAGGCTTTCATTCGTACGTGCTATGGCTACTTCTGTCTGCGATGATCTGCGGCCTCGGGCTCGGGCTCTCGTTTCTGGATTCCTTTGCGACGGCCGACATCCCTTCGTACATGCTACCGCCTCTCTCATATCCGCCTACGACGAGACGAGACGAGACGATTTGACGAGCAGCAAATGTCACTGTCCACAGCATTCCATTCGAAACATCGGCCCAGATTCGAACTGTTTTCGTCTCCCGGGAGGATCGCCCGCTGATCGACAACGCTAGGGAGGGAGGGAGGGAGGGAGAGAGAGCAGGAAAAAACACTTTGGCTCCTTGGGTTTCGGGGGTGTCCAGCCAGTGAGGTCCATAACCACTTAATGGGCGCGACAGTGTGTGTCAGACTTTGTCCACCGAGTCTGACGGACGACGAGACGATCGCCTGCGTCTAGAGTTGGTCCAGCGATCGAGGCACCCCCCACACCTGTCACCGGCATCGTTCGTTTGCCACTCATGGTTTTGGAATGGAATGGAATGGATCCTTGACACATTGGAGCTCATTTCAGCAGTGCAAGAATGTCTGTGGCATTTGACGTCATGGATCTCAACCCGCAACGCGTTTGCTCCTCCTCGTCCAACATACACGTCCCTTCTTTTTGCTTGTGTACGTTTTGCCATGAACTTGATTCTGAGAATAACTTCATGACTTTGATTTGTTCAACGTCCGAGGTTTACGTTTGGGGCTATTAAGCTTCATCCTAGAATCACTTTTGAGTCGAAGGATTGGATTCGAAAGACATTTGTCAGCTACAAAAGCTGTTCCAAAAATATCGCTTGACAGCATCTAAACACTCCTCATATGAGAAGACAGTGTTACACGTTACATCGAAAATACTAATATTATCAGTATAAAAGCGAAAAATTTTCCAAAATATTTTATCTACATGGTTCATTAAATGTTCTATCCCAAGATATTCTACTATAAAAGGCCTAATCCTAAAGAGATGAAAGCAATTGCAATTTTATAAGAATGAAATTGAAAATTGACAAAGAGTTATAAACCCCGCCGAAGATAACTAAGATCATGAATTTACAAACCTTAAATATCAACGTAAATCAAAATATATTATTAATTTATCCACTTTTTATTTCTTGTAGAGACATGTTTTTATCAGTGGTTTAAATTTTTATCCTTACTACTATATGGTATGTTAGGTTATATATACACTCACATATATGTCGATTTCTAGTCCCCCAAGCATTATAAACAGATGTCCTTCATTTTCCAATCGAATTTCTTGGATCCATCGTGACTTGAATGAAAGTTTGTATAATAACAATGGTTCATGTACTTGAGTCAATCCGCATTTCATACACACAGCCGAAAACGCATGTTTGAAAGGAGCTAAAACCTGGCAACAGAAGTAGAGAGCATGGAAGATGATGGGAAATTTCTCGAGTTCCTGTTGATCGCCTTCCCAGAACTTGCAATAGATCAGGGGACGACAAACATATTCCAATAGATGATAAGTAAACCAGAAATCATTTGTCCAGAATTAGTGTTCACACACGCATGCAACTGTGCACATTTGGGTGAAATCTCAGCAACTTTTGCTTTTTTCTGTGGAATACTCGAAAGGTGGAAGATGCATACTCGCGCATACACGTTCTACATAAAGGTCCACAATACAAACAACACCTTCTGACCTGCGTATTGATTAGCCGGTGCCTACTGCAACTGAAGAGCAGGCAAGGTTCGCATCGAGATCCAAACTCACACAGAGGTTAGTAAGTGCACACATCCATACGTGTCGAAACTTGCTTCAGATAGTGCTCCTTCCGTTGCTCATGTTCTGTATTTATGAAACCATTAGTCCTGGCTGACATGCTCCATTCCAAGGGTAGGTTCGCGGAATTGGTCGAGACAGAGGCAATTGGTGGAGATCGCAACCATCTCAACAATCCGAAGATGGGCAAAGAGCTCCATGCTGCTGATGCTGAACCTCGGAGATTTAACAGTAAGTTTCGTAATGGCATCCATCCATTAATCGTGTAACACTCCCGAGGCAGCAGCAGCACCACCACCAATACCATTGTTTCTGCTCCACGGGAGCAGCACAGTGGAGACCCCGGGGCTCCCGACGACACGTGATCCAAAACCCATCGAGCCAAACCTGACCAGGCCTGAAGCTCGAGCCTGCATCTCTGATCTCACAAGGTCATCACATTTTTGGTTCGTTCTGCGAACGAGTCAATCATTGTTCGTTACACTGTCCGCGACAGTCAAAGCTTCAGCTCACATACACCCTCGACCCTCGACCTTCGAGGACGGGAATGACATCTGGAGGCACGACCCAACCAACTGTCGACTGAGTTTATCGCGAGCGATGACCCGGACGGTCGTAGTTGGATGAGGACGACTGTAGAGTATTCTTTGGCATGGCAGTCTCACATCAGGCGAATCGGTTTCCTACAGTGAATGAGATTTGCAGCTTCTTTGTCAAGCCATCACATCAAACTGAGATGAGATGAAGTGAGGTGAGATGAGGTGAGGCGACTTCTTTTTTAGCTTCAATGCACAGTGTGTACATACTACACTGTGCAGTTGAGTTTCATGTGGAGAGGTTTCGTACTCGAAATGGAAGCTGTGTAGAGTCGGTATCTGCCCAAAGGATTCAAAGGTGTGAAAATGTTCCATTGACATTCTGCACACACAACCCAAACACCGCCATCACTGTTTTGAGAGAAGAGTTCAGATTCAGATTCCTCCTTTATAATATGCACGATGGAAAACTAGTGGCTCGGGGCAGACTTGGATATTCTCTCCACTTGATCTATGGTGTCGTCCAAATAGGCAACCAACTGTGAAGAATCCGGAACAGTACTTTCTTTCACACCGGTAGGATCTCCTCAATGCTTGCTGGGGACACTTGCTTAGTCTCCTCTTCATAATCAGACGCCAAATCACGAAGCTGGAAACTTCAGGACTTCTCGATGAGAGCTTTAGCAAATCAACGGGAACAAGAATGAATTATAGAGTTATTGCAAGACAGACCACTGACATAGAGCGATTTGTTCTTCACATTCATCAAACTCTGGCAGCTCGCGACTCATTCTGGAGAAGTTAGGTTTAGTCCAGTCGGCAGGTGAGGAAAGCGTGAAATCATCGTTCACAAAGTGGTCTGCTGATTTTCCTTGTAATTTGATTTCATGGTCTGTTAGATCGGTGAATGCCGTGTTCGTTGTATGACCCAGACTTTGTACAGCACATGCACACTGGAATCAAGGGGAGTATGGAGGATTCCAAGTTCAGTCAGACTACAACATGCATTTCGGATGTACGTCCCGGACTGCTAGAACTACGAAGTAGATTCGGGGATTTAGAGATTCGGAAATGATTGTGGATCCATCGAATGTAGAGTGCAAATTTGCAAAAGCACGTGGAGCTCGGTCCCATCGCAAGTCCACAAGTACACTTGCGTGTGGGCCTGGACACTCCGCACACGAGCGGCCGGGCGGGCGGCCGGGCTGGTGTTTCCATCACTTTTTCAAACTCGAGACCTATGTCCTCACAACCTTTGGGTAGAAGAAAATCCTCGATTTTTGTTCGAGACAACGATCTGTAACACAGTTTGTAAAACCTGACAACCCGTTCACTATGGCATAGAAAGCATGCCGGCAAGGGCTCACTCACATTCAGCCCTCATACGCGTGGCGATGTGTGGACGGACGGGAGTCGGCACATGGTCGGGCGCGAGGCCCCAAAATGTGTGCCAGCTGAGTGCCCAGTGAGAAGAAATCAGGATTGATCGTCGGGAAGTCAAGGGTCAATGAGAGCTGCGGCTGCTCAAACTTTCCTTTGGGTCAGGGTCCTCAAAAGCCTACAGCTTATTCGCACACACATGATGGATGTTACGACATACTGTCAAACATTGGATTTCGATTGCCTGCCTCCAAAGGAAAAAGGTGGAAGCTGGTTTTGGGGGATTTCGGAGGTCTTCGGGGGAACAAGTTGAACATGGAGGGTTGCCTGCATGCATGTTCGCTCGGCTAACTTTCATGGCCGCGTACGGCAGGGGCACATTCCCTCGGCCTGCATGTATGTCCACCACAGTCGCAGGCATCTAATCTGGAGCTTTGCATGCCCGCATCGCGGAGGAGAGATACAAAATGTACGCTGTCCTCGTTCGCGACAAGGGATGCCCCAAAAGTCAGTGCACTGGAGTGCAGCTCCTTTCCGCAACTTGTCCCCCCTCCGAAGTTGCGTGTCAGAGTCGCGAGGGTATCTAGCTCGGACCAGGTGGACTTCTACGTTGCCAATCGGGCAGCCGTCTCCCTGCCGCATGCCGCATGTGGACGCCTCGTGCTCTGCTTGGGAAGTCGGCCCCTTGCTGACAGCCCCCCATTTTTTGCCCTGCGTAGCATTCATCTGGGCGGCTACGGTCGATGCATCGGGAAAGGTGGGACAGGAAGGAATTGTGGAAGATACAGCCTCCTCCAGCCTACGAACTAATCTGGCCTCATCTCCTCCGACCATTCTCTACAGATTCGAGTGCCCTCCATTTCTAACCCAGCTCGCAGATGAATCGGAGGTGCGAGAACATGCCATTCTCAGGAGAAATCAAACCAGGTTGAAGCACGTGATCAGATCAGAAAATAATCAAGCAAGAGTTCCCAAAGTAAGCATTTGTAAATGCAAAATCAGCTCTGGCTTGTGACAACTGCCGGTGGATCGTGGGTCCAAGACATTTGCCACAAGTGTTACCTGAGGAGCTACATGATGGAGAATATTTTGACACAAGTGAAGGATAGCACCAGACGACTGATTGGGCATGTGTACTTTTTATTTTCTTGGTTTGAGCATTCCGATGCCATATGAAGGGCCTCGGAGTTGTAAACAAAAAAAAATGCTCAAACCAGTGGAGCCATGTACTTGTATGCTACATGGCGGATGCTACCTTGACTGATTGCTCGCGACTGCCGTGATAGTAAAGATGCGACCAATTTTTCAAACCGAGGGCGAAGACACTCATACTACTCTGGTATGGAACCCATGAAGGCAAGCACGGTGCACTTTACTTTATGACTAAACTCTAGGAAGGTAGTAAAAAGTGTCTACCTTTCGTACTACAACGTTGACCACGATATAGAGAACATGCTCGGGTTGGTTTGCCATTTACCTCACAAACAATTAACTTCGGGCTAAGACAAAGAATAACCTAGATCTGTCCCAAACACAAACTAATCTTCAAAACTGGAGTGAAAACACGCATGTGTCTCCGACTCTCTCACCGCATTACAGATTCCTTTACACATCGACGGTCTCCAGAACTGTCAAGCACCGTAGACCATCATTAGAAACACATCAGAAACTCGGAACGGGCTTCTCAAAAAATAAATTCAGAGAGGAATCAAACGCTGCTCCAAGGCACATCCCGGTGCCGATGTGTGCAAGCCATAAAACAAACTTGGTCTAGATTTTACACGGGTGAAACTGCGAAGTACAACAGAGAATGCAACCCAAGTACCTGTACTCCAGATGTATGTTCAGAAATCTGGGATTCTCCCGAGTCTGTGCCAAGGTGATTGACCCTGTAATCACCTGGTCTTGCGTAACTTCGATTGGGTCGTAAATGTAGAGAATTGTCTGCAAATCACCGAAAAACACTTGATTAAGTCAAGATTTCTCCATAAATCACTGATATAATTCCACAAAACTATGGTTGATACAAAATACACAAGAACGGGTTGTTGATGTCAGAACTCAGAACTGCTATGATTTTTTGCACAAAGGAGGCATGAGATCACATTTCCTGGGTTACCTGTTGCCAATGAGTAGGATTTTCCTCCGGTGCTGTTGAAAGGACCAAGGTCTCATTTCCTCGTCTTCGACGTAGATTCAGGGCCATGCTCTCGTAGTCACTGGCAGGTGGACTATCCTGCGGTGACTCTCCGGCTGACTCAAACTCTTGAGAATTTTGACCACCGAAGGTAACGTCGAACCACATGGCGAAGCCATGAAGAGATGCTGAAAATATATTTAACGGGACGATACAGACGCCAAGAAGGTTAAGAACCATGTCAGAGGGAAATGAGTCTTTCGAAAGAGGCACGGAGATCGGACGTCCAAAGAACTCAGACGGACTTAAACAAGACCTAGTCTCGTCCAATAATAGAAGCAAATGCTGGTCATTGCGGGAACATCATAACTCCTTAAGTTTCTGGGACTTTTATAATTCAACCATCACCGACGACTGAAGCTTTTCAAGATTGATCACTCCTACAGACTCTTAAAGATTAATGATTTGTATGACTGTGACTTACCCATCATCATAGACGAAACGCAAAAATTTGTTGTGACCACCTCGAGTTCTTGTATTGTCACTTTACTGCAATCAATGTGTTTGATCTGCCGAGAAAGAGTGCAACGCTTCATCATTTGAACATTGCCCACAAACATCATACTTTTGGGACAGTGAGCTATCCAAGGAATGAAACTTTATCGTAAATGTCTTACCACTACAGGCCATGAAAGTACGTTCTCGGCGGTTATTGACTCGACGCAAGGCTCCTCAAATGCACACTGTTTTGCAAGTGGCAACATAGCAGACACTGCGATGCGTAAAACACACCAACATCATCAGATACACCATCTTACATCTTAAACATTTCGGCTTTCAACTTCAAATATATGTTAATGCTCATGCTGTGTAACTTGGTAGCCTTGAACAATTATCGTCTCTTTGTATCAGGATTCCTCGCATGCTTTTACCACAATTCCTTGCAAATGAACATAGGTTTGAAAGCATCATGTGTTTAACCGTACTTACTATCAATGCCGTATACGTTGCGCCAGAAATCTATGCTATCCGCATACCTCTCGGCGTTGGTGATAGGAGCCATGTAAAGCTGCAAGCAATAAGATAAGTTACAGGTAAGTCAGCAAAGTAAAAAGGAAAAACATCCAAGACGTGAATGAAATAGAAACTTCAACCACTGGACTTCACAATTCCTGCATGGATATGGATCTGATAGTAAAGAGCAGGCACACCAGAGACCTATAAGAAAACAAGGCAATCTTAAAGCACACAATGCAAAATTCTTGAAGCGTATCTCATTTGCTTTGACATATGGAAGCATATGATAGGATAGATAGACAAGATCACCGTGGCATGAGATGGTAGTATAAGACCTCCGGGTTTCAGCCAGCGGTCGCGCGCACAGATAACACTCGGTAACATGCTCTGATTGATGAAAAAGGTAAAATATGAGAATATGTAAAACATCAACCACTTGCACTTCCACTAGGAAGTTAGTAGTACTCTTGCTGGACATTTGTCTTTAGTACTTCTTATTTTATTTTTAAAAAACATTTGAAGCTAAAAAATTTGCTCCATGTGGATGGAAAGAACCAACTTGCGCAATTTCGAAGGCAACCGAAAGATACAGGTGACACAAGACAATACTGCGGAGAGATCTGGTTGTAAATAAAACATTAATCCCGTTGACTACGTAGTTTTACCTCGTATAAAAGCATGTAACCCATCCATTCTGAAACAATGACATCGACCTGCTCATGTATATCGACTTCCTGGAAAAAGAAGTAAAACACCACTAAGACTAAGTTAGGACAAAGATACCAGAGCAGAGTCTCAAGTTCAAGAGATGACAACTCAACTGAAAACTGATAAATAAAAAGTGAGTAATGGACCCCAGCGACTTCATTCTACCGGGTAAAGTATAAAATAGATAAAAAACTTAACAAAGATTTAGTTGTGCTCAAAATGAGACGATGAGACAGATCATATGATGACCTTAAAACATATTATTGTACTTGCTAATCAAACAGGAAGACAATCCTACATAAAATGGCGACCTCTCATGACAATACTGAAGTATGTGGTTTTAACCTGTGCCTGACAAAAATGACAGAATTGACGTACCTCTACTCGTCCTAAAATGACGGTGATGATTTCAGATAGTCCATTAGCTTTTACCACTTCTTGTGCCTGCGGGCAGAAAATAAACGGTAAACAAAGAAAGACAGGCGTTTTGGCTCACATCGTTGAACCAAATCAGGAGTCAATAATTGACGGAGTGTTGAGACACAAGACTTTCAAAAGACTATTAAGATTTATTTTGCAACGACTCTGACAACTATTAAACATCTTACTTGTTATTTTAACAAGTCTTGAGTCAGTGCAATACTAACAACCACTTTCAGAATCACAAGGTTACAATCAGTTGGTTAAAAAGAATTTAGGTATAATACCTGGACAGCAATATCACTTGCGTCGATGGCATAGACCTGGCATGAAAAAAATTACAAGTACCACAGACTGAATAAGAATTTTATGGCAACTTATCCAGATTTCGAACAGAAATACACATAGTTCCAAACTATAAGACGGAAACTTTCTCCCTAAGTTCAGCTTACTAATCTAGAGTACTCTCCCTACTATGTAAAGGTCATACCTTGCGAGCACCCGCAAATGCACAAAAGATAGAGAGAATACCGGTGCCACATCCGACATCTACCACCACCTGTACACCAATTTGATATCAATGGGACGTTGTATTTTAAACGTCGAAATTCATTTTGATCGGTCTACTGGATGTTGAGGATTGAATGCCGATCATTCAAAACTGAATGATCTGTCAGTCTAAAATAATACAAAAAATCGACGCCTCTGACCTTATCACGAATGGCATCCGTATGCATGAAAATGGCGTCCCGATAGGCATCTGTTCGTGTCCGATCCTGGAAAAACAGATGTACGAGACGATGAGATCAGAACAAACGGATCCAATATTGGGCAGAAAAAAAGTGGTGTGCAAGATGCTGATGGACAACCGCGAATGCGTCACAACCGTCTTCCGCAGCAACATTGTCTTTCTTATGCAATAAGCAAACAACATGTTAGTCTACTCTACCTATGGTGGACCGAGATCAGAAAAAGTGACCAATTACATTTGATTGGGTACAGAATTGATATCGGCGATCAGACGACTCAGTCGTACATGAAGTCGTAGAGGCACCCAAAAAAAAAAAACTAAGACATCATTTGCAGAGAAACACCCATATGTCAAAATGAAGTGTAAACTCTCTGTCATCGAAACAGTAGTCGTGTGCTGGGAAATATCGACCTCGTTCCAAATTCGAAAACAGAAGTAGGATTACGAGACCGGCTGTAATTTCCTGGATAATTCTAATAGTAACTTGAGGGCTTTAGGTCAAGCGTAGGTTCCTTCAGACAAATGCATCTCTGGGAGCACCGCCCAAGCTACGAATCAAGAATCCAAAACAGGTATGGCATCACGTAGTGATGTCTGGGCTGCTTTACCTTCTTCTGCCAGGGTGGCCGAGACGTTCCAGAATAAGCAGCCATAATGACTCGCAGCAGTCTACTGCACTCTCTACGTTACGGACTAACACCACGCCAGGAACCTGGAGTGCTAGAAAGAATGTCGTCTTCTGTTCTTGTCAACCGAATGCGGTAACTCTCAAAAGCTTGGCAAGTCAGTGCGTGCAAGCACACTGTTCAATTCAAAATATGGAAGGTCAGGAGAAACGGTGTGATCTGATTAACGGTTACTGGACAGGACAGTATCACTACACCTGTCAGTAATCGTCGCAATATGACAGGGACAGATAAGGAATAAGGATGATTGCTTCTGGATTCTCTTCATGGCAACTCATGAGTCGTGTCTCTTCGAAGAATGACACCACTGTGGCAGACAGAACACCTGGGCACTGGGGCAGCATTCCGCAGCTGTTCAGGAGGGAATTCTTCGTCTCCCGCAGGGATTCACCGTTTCTTTTGCCGGTGAAAACCTTTGTTGATAACGTCAAGCAATCGCCAAGGATACCTAGAATCGGCAAGCTCAATGAAAAGAGCAAGCAAGCGCTCGAGCGCGGCAGCCAGCTAGCTAGAGAAAAGGAAAGGCGAGGTACGGGGAGAATGCCTTTATCATCTCTTCGTGGACTCCAATGTGGGAGTAGGCATGAAAATACGCGGCATCATGCTCTCGGAAGGCAGTTGGAGCGACAGCACCATGGTCCCTGGAAGCGGAAGAGGACACCATTGAAGCGGCAGGCTGCAAACCATAGCCCTCTGCATTCAACCTTGACTTTCCCAGTTTGCGAGCAGCTCCTCTTGCAGAACCTATGCCTAGCAGCTTCGATTCTCGCAAAATATCGGCTCCTCCTGCTACTCCGACGTTTACACCCTCTGCACAGGAAATAGTAGCAGCAGCAGCAGCAGCAGAGCTCTTTTCTTTGCCACTCTTGTCCTTGTCTCTTCCCATTTCAGTTCCCCTACTCCTCCAGCGATCTGCCTCGGTCACCACATTTCCCGATGCGGACCCACGATCCTGTTCGGTGTTTCCGTCATACGAATTCCACCTCCGCTTCCTTCCCTCTCCATCGTCCTGCCAATCCGCTTCCCCCCTCTACAACAGATGTAACAACAATCACCCCCCTGCACCTCCTCCACGCCTAATTCTCCACCTTCTTTCCTTCCTCCTCCATCCGCTTCCGCGTCATCACATTCCTCCTCTCTTCATCCTCGCTCGGGATGGGCAGGAAGGAAGAATAGTCTCTCTCATCCTCTCCTCTCCTCTCCCGCCTGCCTCTCTCTACTGATGGCCTGACTGACCTCCATCTCCAGAGCAGCAGCAGCAGCAGCTCCTCCTCCAGCTGCTCCCCTCCCCTCCCCTCCCCTCCCTCTCCCCTGCCCACCCTCCCCTGCTCTTCTCTCCGCTCCTCTCCTCCTCGTCCTCTCTCCTCTCTCTGGTCGTTCTGTGTTTCCTCCTCCCTCCCTCCTTCCGGGAGCAAGACCAGAGAGAGCGTTGTGTGTCACAGTTGTTTCACTGCGCCCCGCGCATTAACTCTCCTCGTCATCTTGCCGTTCGGTCGTTGCCCCTTGCCAGGCGAACACCCCACCATGCCATAGCAGCAGCAGCAGCAGGCAGGCAGGCATGCCATCGTCTCGGAATGATCGGACCCATCCCCATGATTTGGGCCCCTCCCCTCTGCTCTCGCCAGTCCGGTCGACCAGCGCCTCCACTCCCACCGGGAAAAGCGCGTCCACTCTGTTCGCGCCTTTCCGCCTCACCGGCTCGAACTCTCGCGCGTTGCCGAGCAACCTCGATTCCCGGTCTCTCGGCGCGGCGCGGGGCCGCCTCCTCTCGCTCTCCTGCCTGCCCCGGCCTGCCTGCCCCTTCGGCTCTGGGCCGCCTCTCCTGCAGTCCAGTCGCCGCCCGCCCCGCGCCAGCTTTCGCTTTTTCGCTCTCGAGATCGCAGCGTGGTCAGGGATGGCGGCCGGGCAGTCCAACGGAAAGGAAACCCGGAGGCAAAGGCAAAAGGCGGAGGGCCGGGCTGCCTGCCCGCCCGCCTGCCTTGTCCACGGTGGCGAAAAGCGCGCCCGCGGAAGCTGACCATGCCATGCTCGCTCACATGTCTCAGCTCTGCGAGAATTCCCCCATGCTCGTCATGCATGTCATCTCATCTGTACTCGACTCCGGTGACTCCAGTCTGGACTCCGCTCACGTTCCCTCTGTACTCTACGACATGGTCGTTGTACGGTCGTATGGTACGACGGTCCCTTTTGGTTATCATTGACATACGGCCACCTCCGCATCAGGGACTAGGCTTGGCCACGGTCCGGTTAACGGTTAACCGGTCCGGGAAATGTGCGGACCGGTTAACCGGTCCAATTAACCGGTTAACCGGTAAGTTAACCGGTCCGGCATTTTGCCATATCGGTTAACGGTTAACCGAGGTTTTAACCGGTTAACCATCTGTCTCGACCCTACGTGGCCGATGGGAGGGGCTGTGGCTGGGATCGATTGCTCATTGTCGTCGGTCGTGGGTCCTGTCGTGCCCAGCGAGTGTCGTGATTCTGGTCTCGTTGATGGTTTGATTGCCAGGGTGTTTAGAGTGGAGGTGAAAACGCTCTCGAATTGGAGAGACTTCGATTTTGCGCCAGAGTGCAGGGAAGCTGGAGAAACACATCCGAGCTCGAGATTTATGCTAGGGATTATCCAATTATTGAATTGGGTGATCAAATTAGGTGATACAAAAATTTACTCTGGCGGCAGAATTAGACCAGCGAGGCTCGCTGGTCTAAATCTGGTGCCAGAGGAAATTTTTTTCCCCGGACCGGTTAACCGATGGGTTAACCGGTCCGGAGAAATCTGGGACCGGTTAACCGGTCCCGACGGTTAACCGGCGGTCCGGACCGGACCGTGGCCAAGCCTATCAGGGACCAATTCCCGTCGTCCCTGAGAACGGCAACGGAACACGCACTTGCCTTCGCCAATTCCGTACTGCTCGAGCCCGCCCCCCTGCTAAACTAGAAGAACTCGGGCATCTTCAGCACGAATTCGTAATTCGAAAATCTGCCCTAAAATCGTGAAGTCCAGGCCTTCCCCCCCAACGGTCATCCGAATGGTTCGCGGCACTTTCTGCCCAGCTGTCCGCGCTGGGGCCAATTGGTAACCCTACTTGTGTACTGTAAGGAAGAAGAGGCAGGGACAGGCACAGAAGGTGGGGGTGACCGGCCCCGCCGATCGCCCGCCCATCATGACTGGCATGACATTCCTTTGAAGTTTCTAAGTCCGGAAATGCGGCCACCAGTGCGGATGAGGCAGCCCGAAACGGCACTCTAGGGTTCAATAGTGGCTTGCTCGGTGCGTATTACTCAGTCCCAGTCAGCAACTTGCGCACAGAAACAACATATTCCCCTCTGGAAATTTAGAAGATCACGCGCGTGTATGCAATCCGTCCTCGAAAGGTTGACCTCCGATGTCATCTGTGCGTGACATAAGATATCCCAACTGTGATGCTTTGGATCATAGCCCCATCCTATCCTTTCCCTTTCATTCTCGTATTCCCATTTGATGACACTTCCCGTACATTTGGCTAGTTATTCTGTGAAATTTTCATTAACAACTTTTTAAGTGAGAAGCAAGATAGTAAAAAAAAATGGTTGTACTCATCAAGTGGGATGTGGTAGAATTCAACGAATTGGAAATAGTCTTTGCTCCCATACGATGGTTAATATATACTTTTGCAATTATGCAATTCAAATATCTAGATTAATGTTTCAGCATATTCAAGAAAAAGTTAACTATTGTTATTCATTTCTTATGTAATCCACCAACTGCTGGATTTGGTGTAACAATTGTGTAAATTAAGCAACACTACACGATGATTGAAATGATAATAGGCGTGACTTAATTTCAATCACTTCCTCCATCTCTATCACAAACATGTCAAAGTGTTTACTTATGTTTTTTCATAATGCTAAGAACAATCAACAGCAACAAAATTTATTCCACTACTATAAAAGTACACAAACCTATTACCAGTCAAACTCTTCAATCAACATTGAATCATTCATTTTTTCATTGTGTTAAAATTCTTTTAAATTTTATTTCAAAATATTCAATCCTTGTAGGTTTGATATAAATGTTGATTGATGATATATTAATACAAACTCCAAGTAAAGAATAGTACATTAATCATCATTTTCCTTTGTTTTCTTTATTTTTTCACATGCAAAAATATACTTCAAAGATGTGCTATTTAGTTATTTTGAGTATCACTATTTAGGATAATATATAAATTATCATTATTCTTTATTTTTTATTTTTTATTTCAAAATTAAAACACAATTTTATCTGATTTTTAAATCTATAAGATTTTGATATAACTGATAACAAAATTAATCAAATACAATCAAATCAATACAACTAGTTTTATAATGATCAATGCTGATTTATAACTTAATATAAAAATATTTAAATGAATAAAATAAGAATTTCGAAAATAATCTTTTTCTAAAATTTTGCATGATCATATTGATAACTTATTCAAAATTATTTTCAAGAAAGATTTTAATTTATCTTTATTTTTGAAGAAGGTATGTTTTTCATAATTTGAACTTTTTCAGTATTATAATAATAATGTAATAACTATTTTTAAATTGAATTTCAAAATTTGCTTCATATACATGTATAATCATAATATTGTTATGATATGATTGAATATGTAGATTGAAATGTTGTTGCATGACTACAATACATCCAACTAAATTTAATAAGAGCTTTCACAAAAGTAATATAACTCTAATATCATATTATATTATAAATTCAACCCTAAACCCTAAACTAGTTTATATTTCAAGTTTAATCTATGATTATCACTACCTATTGCATTAGAAAGATATACTTAATTTTTTCATTAAGTTTTTTTTCTCATGTGTTGCATATATCATTTTCAATAATTCTATATAAGATGAAAGATGATATTGATAAAAATTAAGTAGAATTATCAACTAACATTTTTATGGAGACCTAAATACATTATTATCATTCAAGAATTATATAATTTTTGAAATGTGAAATTCATAAAATTACGTTAGTGTCATGATATGTAGAAGCATAAAATAAATTAAAAACCATAAACTATGAAACTGAATCAAACTATATGTTTTTTTGGATATTCTGGTCAGCACACGACATTTCTTGGAATGTATTCTATTATGGATTTCACAATGCTTAATATTTAATTATCACGTTTATCTATATATCAAAAGTCAAATACAAAGTTTTTGAAGTCAATCGAAACAAAAAAAACCGAAAATCACACTGATGTATCATAAACACATGTTAAATCTAAACATGAAAAGAAAAAATGAAAAGTCTCATAAGATGTAAAAATTAAAAAATGTATTGTAAAGTATGAAACAAATAGTTTCTAAACATCAAAATTAATACTTTAATATGTGTAATTTTTAAAATGATAAAAATCTGATTATTTGGTAATATATTCATGTAAAGTATTTCAAGCACAAATATAATATATTCTTTTTTTCAAACCAATTTGTAAAATTCATAAACATAAAGAAATTATAATACTTATAAAAAATGTTAACAAACAAAAAGACAACAATACAAATCTGACTCTTTTGTAATGTTTTACATTAAAATTTTTTGTAAATATTTCATCTTCATGCAAAAAGAGTTCACTATAAATATGAAATTGTCCAATTATTTTTTTATAATACATATTTTACTTATAATAAAATTGATATTTTGAAAAATAAGTGACATTGGAACAAAAAATTATAGATATATATAACAATTATTTTGGTAATTTTAAAGCCTCGATTCATCTATTTTTATCGCTCAACCTTGAACTCAAATAAGATTGTTCATACATATATATACAAATACATACATTCAAGAAGTCCAGTTTCAACGTTAAGGTCAATTTTTTTGAGAATACTACCCAAGCTACACTAGCCAAAGACTATTCATACACATAGAGTGTGAAAATCACAAAATGTTTATTACAATTCTTTGAGATTGCAATTTTTTGGGTTTTTCCTTTTTCAATAGTATTCATTTGAGATTAAATAATAATTTAAATACTTCACTAACATAAATTTGTTGGGTCATTCCATTTTTCATAGATTTCAATTAAAATTAAAAAATAGTTTAAATACTTCAATAAACATATAAAAAACAATTTAAAATAATTTGACAAAATGTCACCTTCTATTAAATATTGAAGTACATAACTTGATACACTATTGTTTTCAGAGGTGTATTGGATGAGGTTCATTTTATAAGGTTGAATTAATGCAATTTTCATTATTTTGTATGCAGTATTTTGTCTAAATAACATATGTTCAATCATCTTCTGAAATCTATAATGAATCAAACTTTACAATTTTAAATCAATGATGAAATATATCTGCACTCATAATATGTATATTGTTTATAAACGTAGAAATATTTGTTATAAGTAAATGTATGAATAGTTATTTACAATATATATAATAATAATAATTTTATATTAGAATTAGAAAATCAACATACTAAAAATTGAAAACTGCATAATTTTCACATTTGATGTTTAAAATAAAACGATATTATGGATAAAAATTACAATTAATTGCATGTAAATCAAACATGTATCATGTGATATGTTTATAATATTGAGTTTCATAGATAAAATTATAGCAAATCGCTCACCAGTACTATTTTCATTGTCTACCTGAAACAAAATCAAGACGTTTTATTAAATAAAATCAAGAGAAAATTTGTATTGTCATCTATCTCTTTGGAGTTGAAACCGTTTAGCAATAAAGATGCATTATTTGAAGCTTTCTAAAGCTTTAAGCCTCAAAGTCGAATATAATATCTAGCCTGCACTGCATATCATACATTGATATGCAGTTTAGGTTAGATTTGATATTTGATTTGAGTCAAAAACTTCAATTTGTATTGTAAATGCAACAAATATTACTGCGTGAGGAATCTAATTAGGATGAACGTTATGAAATGTTTTGAAGTATGTAAAACATTTCACATTAAGCTCTGTTTCCTATGTGTAAAGTCATCTTGTATTGTTTCTCCTTAAAGAGAGTGATACGTTATCTGTTCACATACAGGTATTTGTTTCCAAGAATTAAATATACTTCACGAGTTTTTGCAGTTGCGCAGATGGCTTGGTCAGCCTAAATAATATCTGCAAATTAATCTTCATCACTCATGACAGTTTCGAGTAAGAATTTGATTTTTATATGCAAATGACATAGTTCTAAACATCTGGATTTTTTCATGTAAAAAAATTATTTTAAATTAAATTTATTTAGTAATTTAAACTAAGATATGTTAGACTAGAGTTAGTAAAGTCTCTCTGCCACACATTAGTTTTGTTGGTAAAATAACTCTGTAATTTCATGCTTGGTTTGCTTGGTTTGTGTCTCTCTATGCTATATTTCACAGTTAAGTTCAAACATTTTGTAAAGTCATATTCATATGCAAATGCATATTTTCTTATGTTAATGAATTATTTGTTGAAACTAGTTCATATCAATGTGTACAATATGTGGACATCGAAATGTAATAGTGATGAACTTGTTCCCACTTACACTTTACCGCTTAACAATTCTGCAACATTCTTTTCGATCTATCGTAGTTACCAAAATAAGCATGAATGAACTGTACCGTGCATGAGAAAGTTCCCGTTAGAAGTGATGCCTTTATCATGGTTTTGTGGTTTGACAGCTTTGTGGCCACATGCACACTTATGAATTATGCAACATTCGAGTCGAGGTTTTATACTTATCCAATTACGTATTTTGTCTCATAGACTGAAATTGAATGCATTGACTCCATGACTCTTCTGGTTGTATTCTGTATTCGCATTTATCCACAACGGTATCCATCCGTCACATCACAGGGAACATCAATTCTTTGGAATAAATGTGCATCCCAGTTACATGACACGGAATCCACCTCACTCTATTCGATAATTGAATATAGTCACCATTACATCCGACATGTCACCAATATTTCTCTGAGAAGTACGACAGCACAGAAGCAATCATCATTCAACGGTGTATATGTGAAGTTAAAGAAGTTCGAAGCGTTTGATTGGATGTTTGAAAAAGTGATAAGTCAAAATTGAATATTCCAAGCTTTGTAAGTTGTTGGAATGACAGAAAAAATTAAAAATGTCAATTATTTTTCTCCTCTTTGAAATTATTTTCTTCTGCAGTTTTGAGAATTTCTAAGAAGAAGAGAAGCAATACCTTCAGCTGGTAGGTAAAAGTGGCTATAAAATATATGTATGTACAATTTTGAAGAAAAAAACTAAGAGTAAAAAGAAAAAGAAAATATGTGGACATTTTTTAAATGAGCGAATTATTTTCTTTATTCAAGTCTTCAATATTTATGAAAAGCTTAACCAAGTAGTCTTCAATATCTACCACAAGGTTACTCTTAGACGATTTATGAATCAGTATTTTTTTCAACTACAAAATGTCATAATAAATTTTTGAATTTGTTCCATTGTAAATAATATGATATTTTATTTTCTTAGATTAAGTCATGAGAATGTGTGACCAAAATATACGAGTTTTCATATACATCATCAAGTTGCATTATTATTATATTTTTTGTTCATGCATACTTTAACGTTACTTGAGTGATGGATTCTGCATTTTTTTGATACATGTTTATTAAACATGCTGTAACGCTTTAGATGCATCTTCGGTCTATATGGCTCGTTGTTCATATGCAGTCAACAAGTCATCTGCTCATTCTAAAGTCACAGGACTACAACATATATCATCAGGGTAGAATGTATCAACTATCACATAACAAGATCAGTTGTTTACATAGTTACAGCCTTGATTTGACTCACCAGAGATAAGTTTCTAAATGTACATCTATATTCGACTCAATCTTCTCATTGTAGACTTTATGGTCATAGATATTATATGTAACATGATTTCTACAGCGATGATTTGTCATGCTCATGTGATTGGTAGCAAATGAAAAGTATCAATAAAGACCTTCATATATGTGATATATAGAGACTTCCGCTAAATTTTGATTTGTCACTCCATAAGTACAAGAAGGTTATTGTTACATATGTTGCTATTAAAAACATCTATTAGACTTTGCAGATGTTTTAGGATCTGGGATTGCCTTCCCCCCTGGATGAAAACTGGAATTGAAGGAACCAAATTCTCAAATATTAGATACGTTAACATCTTCGTAATTTCAGCTCAAAGGCCGTTAATCTGTAACTACCATGATATCAAAGAAGCAACTCCCGCGAATCTGTTTAGCCTACTTTGGTGGAGAAATTCACCATGATATTTATCATACTTTTCTAGTGTAGTATAAGTTGTATTAGAGTAAATTCATTCGTGTAAAAGCAAAAGATATATCGAAAAGTATATATATAGAGGAGAGAATGGTTCATCCTCTAGAAAGATAGAGCCAGAAGCCTTCCATTCAATCCATTTTGGCCAGAGTAGAATGATTGGGAACGACTATCATATTATCCCTGTATCTCATCTTGTCCTACTGGGAAGGTCTTGGAGTAAAACTCGATTCCAACTGTCTATTCCCTCCATCCCCACCTCCGTGACAGGTCGATAAATTCACTTGACGCAGGAAAAGCATTGGACATCCATCTCATCCACCTAAGTCCGTGCTTGCGACAATCAAGTCTCATTAATATGTTACGAGTGACACAACATCAGGGCAGACTGAGTGCGAATGGTACACAAAGACTGCTTTCACAATGAGGACTAGAGCCTGCAAGATGTTGCCTTCAGTGGCCACTGAGTCGGCAACCCATGAATGTTCCAGAGTTTTCTGGTGAGACTTGTTACCAAGTTTTTCGCAGTCGAACCTAGACGAGTTCCATGTTCCATAGACCAGCAAATGTCAAGGTAACTCACACTTCTTCTGCCACTTTCACGTCATCTTCGACTCGTGCGTGACACAAGTGTCGAAAAAGTGTACCTCACAAGAAGTTTTCAAAACAGTAAACTATCCACGGTGTAGAGACAGGTTTAGGTCTGATTGGGTCTTCTGGATAACATATCAGACCATGTTGAATACCATCTCTTACTCTGCTAGGCTCCGTTACATGATCTCAACGTTGAACAGACGTGACACATCAACAGTCCACTTGTGTCGTGAATTCCATCGATTAAGAGGAGAAAAAGAACAAGTTTGATGAAAGGTCGTAGAATCACAAAAGTCACAAAATGCATGTTACACACGAAAGAAACAGGAAAAGAAGACAAATAATCGACGCCCAGGTCCTGGTAAATCAGACAACCAGGCCTTCATGATTACTGCAGGAAGTAGCAAGGAAAAATACTTGAGAACGAACGCAACGCTACGAGCCATGCAAACAAACACCCTGCTGACTGGAAAAAAGGTCAAAAAACACAAACGTCTATTACGCCCATAAACCATAGCTACGTTGTTACAGGTCAACATAACCAACATATTACGGCATGGTTGTGGTTGGATCAACAATCTTGTTCCAGGTTGCTCTTCTCATGCAGATCACACTGCATATAATTCAGTGACAGTTTTACCGAACCAGGGTTCACATCGGCTGTGAAAATTGATTCCAGCAACATGCCTGTTGGGAATCAACATCTGAAGAATGACAACGATAGAGAGAGGGGGCTGCCCTCTCTCTGTCTTTGTAAGAAATTGATTGACGATACAAAGCAGGGCATGGGCAAACGAAGAAACCCTCCAAGACAAAATTATCACTGCGCTTGGCTGACGGTTTCGACCATGCTGGAATATTCAACTGTCAATCAAAATCCTAAGCATGTCATCCTCAGACTTCGTTTCAGGGCTGACAAAATCATGGGCCCTTGAAGAGAACAAGACATAATAATCCTCTTTCTCATACAGTGGCGAATCGTTCTGCTCTCGGTTCCTACAAAGATGTAAGAAACAAATTCCTCCTACTTCACATGATGACAAGATCACATGTATATGTGTGTTGTAACTATCAAAACCACGCTCGTCACGTGCAGCTGAGCTTGCACTCTGCAAACAGAGTGCATATAGTGTTTTGTTCGTGTTGAACATTTGCAAACCGCTCCGAATTCAACATGAACATCACCCGTTAAGAATGCCAAGCTTTAAGCTCGCCTTCTACAATTCTGTCACGTTCGCAAGAAACCTCAAGTCTGGGGCAACCCCTCGCGACTTTGAACCAGTTCTAAGAGAATGTGTAGAGCCTCGGGTGCTGTTACTCTTCGTCAGGGCAACCAATTCACAAAGGGCAAAAGCCTGATTCCTGCTTGCAATAAATAGCAGATAGGCATTGCCTGATGTCAAACCTCGAAGACCGCCATCGACTGATCTCCGGCATGCAATAAGTGGCTAACAATACTCCTTCTTCGGGAACACGCACTACATCGAACCACCATCTAACTAACCAAAAGATCCGAAGAGCCGAAAGGGCCCTTCGTGCTGGAATATCGACAAACAGAAACTTAGTTGACCATCTCACCTACATACAGACTGCCACCCACGGTGCTGATAAGGTGCTGATAACGTAAAATGTCGCAGCTGGTGAGCTCCAGTGCCCGCCTACCTTGGCACGAGAGGAGCGTTGAATTACGCAACAGAAGTGGCAACTTGCCCACCTCCACCTCCAGCGATGGCCTTCTTGCCTTGATCCTTTTCGCCATTCCCGGCTGCTGCTGCTGGAGCCTGGCTTTTATCGCCCCTGCCTCGTTTCGAGGTTGGAGGACCAGCGTCGTCTTTAGCCTTCTCTGCGGGCTTCTTTCCTGCGGAGTCGGACTTCGCATCACTCACTGACAATTTCTCAACCTTAGCCGTAACAGACGCGACAGACGACTTGTCACTTTTCTCCCTCACTATCAGCTCCTTGCGCATGTCGTATGCATCCTCGCTATCAGCGTAGTACTTGGCTTCGGTATCGTTGATTCTGTAGCCAAGAGTTTCCGTGTACAAATGAAACGCGGCTCTATTGCTCTTCCTCACGTGCAGTGAGACATATTCTGCTCCAAATACCTCTTGCATTGCACGCTGGGCGGCATTCATGAGCTTGGTTGCCAGCCCTAATTTCCTGTGAGTGCGCAGCACTGCCAACGAGGTAATATGACCATGGCATTCCGACGAATCCTCTTTTCCCGCGGCATTCCGATGGGTTTCCGACGGATCCTCTTTTTCCTCCATTTTGGCCAGCACGTAACCCACGATCTTTTTGTTGTAATCCTCTGCGACATACAAAAGTTGTGGCCACGACAGGATGTGGTAGAGATAATACTTCATTTGATAATTTTCGGGCAGACAGAGAAGATTGCAATTCTGCATGGCCAACAGGTCATCGACCGTCGCCTGCCGTATGCACACCATGGTTACTGCTTTCCTGACCTCAATTCACCACCGATACCTCCTCGCTCGAGGTTTCAGCGCGAACCGATCAAATGGCCGATCAAACCCAGTTCCCTGTCGAAAATACCATCAAAGCGGCAATTTTAGTCCTCGGCAAGGGTTGCAAACCCAAATCAAATCCACAAAGCGAGGTATTCGAGATTGTGACAGGAGGCAGCGACAACGGAAATCGGCAGAAGCTTATCGATCCGAATAAGCATGCGTCGATCCAAACGGACGGATGATCAGACTTACTCTCAGTCACCCGAGCTACCATGACGCACATGGCTTCTCGGCTGTGCCCGTCCACCACGCAATCTCGAGAGAAGGCTCCAAACCCGTCTTCTCTCGAGTCAATGGAGCCCTAAAACCCGTGCTCGATCCACCAAGAGTCGAATTCGGGATGGGGCGGGATGAGATCGGGTCAAGAGCACCTGCTGGCCTGGTCCCAAGTGCGGTTAAGATTCTAGAATCGGGAATCAGGATCCGACTTTCGGCCCTCGGCTTCCCTTTAGTGCTTGCACGTTGGCTTGCTTCTTCATGTTTGCACTGTACGTCTATGATGGCCCCCCGCCCATCTTTTTCTCCAAATTGGTCAAATTCTTACCTAGAGCAGCGAAGTCCAAGCATTGTTTCGGTGATGAGGCACCGCAAGGTGACGTGAAACAAATCAACATGCCATACAAGGCAGAGAAAAAAAGTGAAACTATGTGATTGGCAAATATGTATGGCATTTAATTTACATATTTAGAAAAGGCAGAGAAAAAAGGTTAAACTATGTAAATGGCAAATATGTATGGCATTTAATATACATGTTTGGTACAAGGCAGAAAAAAGAGGTGAAACCATGTAAATGGCAAATATGTATGGCATTTAATTTACATGTTTGGTACAAGGCAGAGAAAAAAGGTGAAACTATGCAAATGGCAAATATGTACAACATTTAATTTACAATTTGGCAAAAGCCAAGTAGGTAGAAACGTGAACAAAAGATGTAAAAGATCATAACCCCAGCAGCGATACTGGTACTCCTACGTGACAGTTGATTGAAAGGACGCCCTGCATAAAAAATTTAAAAAATAAAATGATCGCGTCATCTGCCAAAGATCTAACAACTGAAGTGAAGACTTAGCCATCGAGATTGGACATTAAAGACGGAGAAAGTCGTGTTATCCAGAACCGCAGCATCCTGAACTTTACCGATACATACTTTGTAAGTTATGTTAAGGCTCTAATTAAGAGCATCTGAAGGACTAAACAAGCTTTGCCAATGAAGTAACCTCTAATTTTAATTTGTAGCCTTAAATCAAATGTGTGCAAACGATGTCAAGTGCTAATTGCACTAGCTAATCACGAGAGAGTTTGAACCTTATAGTTTTGGTTTCCACAACCAGCTATCTCAACATGTGATATAATCATCACATAATACAGTAATTTCTCACAAGGATAATTAACTTAGATTTTTCTCATGCTGGCCATCTGGGCTTTTTTAGGCTTCGAATTTGTCTCTCATGGTTAGATTAATACTACGCAGAACGCTTTCATCTCATCTCAAATATCCTGCATTGGGGTAAGTTTGCAGCAAAACTAAGTATCTTTAATATGTGGTTGAGAACTTATGAGTGTCTTTGATTCTTTAAATAATCTTTGCTTCTCGAACGAGGCACAATGTTGTCTGTACCACTAAGTCTGAACATTGACTTAAATTTTCAGTAAGAAGATTATGTGAATTTTTCTTGAAGGATTGTATTACCATCAAGTCATATAAGGATGAGAATTTGCGTGACTTGTGTCTAGACCCATCTCTTTAAACGTATAATATGACAATGATAAATGCCATATGTTATATAAGATATCAAGATTAAATTGGAATATTTGTCCAATTTTCATTCCAGTTTTCTTATAAAGATAACCAACTTACTCATTTAGATCAATTTTTTAACAAAATAAATTAGAAGAACATGAGAACAATTATTTTTCCATCTATCACAGGAAATATCTTAAGATATAGGAACAAGTATTGTAAAATATACTTCACAATACGTTCGATAAATCATATCGCAATATAACACTCTCTAACAAACATTTCAAATTCAATTTGAAGTATAATATTATAATGACGCTAGAGTTACAAAGAATTCATAACTATGTAAGAGATTCTGGTCATTTTAGACTTCCAAAATTTGTTTCAGATATTTACCGAAAATTTCATACCCTAATAATGTAAGAGAATCTTGGTCATTTTAGAATTCCAAACTTTGTTTCAGATACTTCCGGTCGGTTTCATATCCTATTTACAATATTGTACAATTTCTTTTGGATCATTGTACAGTTCACGAGTTGCATGTTGTACATTAGGAGATAGAACATTTGGGTACTGAAGATTTAATTCTAAACGTACATTCAGCAGGATCTAGTATACGCAGTAAGGAAGAGAGCTACGGACTATGGTGAAATAGAAACAGTATGTTCACTGAACATTGCAAACATGGTGAGTGGTTGATCCCGTCAGAGATATCCTACCTCCACTTCGGCGACAGCTTTTTGTAGTTCACTATAAAGGTAATCAAAACTAAATGTCACGTACTAAAAGTACGTACTGTCTGGTGTCAAAAGCAATTTAAGTAGAGGCGCTGAAGTTGTTTGTCAGGTTTCATCGACGAAACGAAGGGTAACAAAAGATTAATCAGGTTTGGTAATGGGCGAGCATAACCCACGTCCTCAGTATGTCAACAATCACGTTGATGAAACTTGTCTGCATCAAAGTACGTTGGCACTACTATACACGAAAGGTTTCCTCTTTTCTTCCTTCTGCTAGTTGTCATTATTTACTGAGACCATTTCGGAAGAGATGTTAGGGACAAGGATGCCATTCCCTCGTACATTGCGTACGAAGTGGGCATTTGACAGTAATAATAGATGGCGATGAATACAACTAGTCCAATGGTGGCCACATTTTGGAAACCCTGGTACCTAACTTTACTCCCTTTGCCTACTTCTAGACATTCCTTGGAAATTGTAATTCATGAAAAGAAACGTGATGAATGCGTGCGGTTCTTACGTGAAGGTGTATGTAAAACTGGCGTGCACAAATGGTTCCAAGGTATGGAACATATTTATGAATTTAAGTATTTAAATAAACATAACAATGAATTTTCTTAATACCTTCCAATTGCGTGTGAAGCATTCTAAACGAGAACGAGCGACGGGGGCGAGGGAATTGGTGCGAGGAGGACGAGGCGACGAGAACGAGAACGAGCGAAGGGAGGGAGATTTGGGGGTGCAACGATGGAATGTGAGCGAGCGAGCAGCGACGGGAAGAGTGGAAGCGGAGCGATGGCGGAGCAAAATATTCATCCTCCGGGATCGGGCGCGGAGCATGGCGGCGGGCAGGCGATCATCGAGCCAGAATGACGCATCGGCAGCGGCTGCAGCTGCTGGAACGGGAGTGCAGAACTCGAGGGATGAAGAGATGGCGGAGGCTGTGGAGGATGAGAAAGATAGCCCTCCCGAGAGCCCGACGAAGCGCGGGACGGAGGAGAAGGTGTGGATTATGAGGTTTCCGAAGAAAGTAAAAAGGCTCGCGAGAAGCAGGAGCACAAGGTGCAAAAGTTGTTTATGCGCCGGCGAGCGAATGCTCTGGCTGTTCCTACCAATGACTCGGCCGTGCGAGCTCGTCTTCGGAGCCTGCAGCAGCCGATCACGATCCATCTCTCTTTGGAGAAAGAGAGATGGAAAGGAGGGATCGTCTGCGTGCGGTTATGACCCGGCTCGATGCTGATGGAGAGCTCGAGAAGCTTTTGCAAGCGCAGGAAGCTGCCGGCGATGGCGCTGCCGCAGCGGGAGTGGAAGATGCTGGAACGAGTGAAGAAGTGCTGGAACCAGAACCTTGATGTTTAGAGATATTTCACACCGAGGGGAGTAATGAGTTATGGCAAGCTCGCATGGAGATTTTGAAGTTCTCTATGCCCAGAGCTGCTATGAGAATCCAGAGAGCCAAAAGGAAGAGAGAGGATCCTGACGAAGATGAGAATGCAGAAACAGACGAAGTTCTGCAAGGTATGGCTCACACCTCGATGGAATGCAGCGAAATAGGAGATGAGCGTCCTCTCTCTGGATTTGCCCTCTCTCCAGACGGATTCTTATTGGCCACCAGTAGCTGGAGTGGGCACACTAAGCTCTGGGAAGTGCCCGCAGTAAAGAAAACGGTCGTGCTCAAGGGACATACTGAGAGAGTAACAGGAGTTGCATTTCACCCACAGTCTTGCAAGAATCTTTCTTCTTCTGCTGGAAATATTGCTACCGGTTCCGCCGATTGCAAAGCTATGTTATGGAGCCTTGAAGGCACACGCTTGAGAAGTTTCGAGGGACACTTAAAGCGACTTGCGAGGGTTGCTTCCCACCCTGCAGGTCTTTATTTGGGAACTGCAAGCTTTGATAAAACTTGGAGGTTGTGGAATATCAACACCGGAACGGAATTGTTACTGCAAGAAGGCCACAGCAGAAGTGTTTATGGAATTGCCTTTCAGAAAGATGGGTCATTGGCTGCCTCATGTGGACTAGATGCCCTAGCTCGAGTGTGGTATCTGCGAACGGGAAGAAGCATTCTTGCTCTTGAAGGTCACGTAAAATCGGTTTGAAGCGTAGACTTTTCACCAAGTGGATATCATCTCGCCACCGGGAGTGCGGATCATACTTGTAGGGTGTGGGATATGCGGAAGAAGCAATCCTTTTACATCATACCTGCACACGCGTCTATAAAATCTCAAGTCAAGTATGAACCTTCTGAAGGTTACTTTCTCGTCACAGCGTAATATGACAACGCTGCCAGGATCTGGTCAGCGAGAGATTTTAAACCCGTAAAAACACTGGCCGGGCACGAAGGAAAGGTTATGGATCTGGACGTAATGGAAGATGGACAGTATATTGCGACCGTGTCTTCGGATCGAACCATAAAACTCTGGTCACATTTCAATTCCTAAGAGTGAATAGAACAGATTTGAATTTGGGTTTAACTCTGAATAACTTGCAATAGACTTCGTCTTCATTTCCTGATACCAGTAGATGACAGAGCTGTTGTGACAAGTATTAGTGACTGGATCTGAAGTTTAGTATTCAGATAGTACAATAATGATTATACTATATGAAAAGAGAAAATTTTCTTCAAAAAAGAAGATAAATCCAGTGAGCGCAATAACGATCAGAAAGAAAATACATCCCACCCTGAAAGGGTCAAAGGGAATCCCATCTACGATCAAGAAAGAGAGCACTATGCTTCTCATTATTAGTACATTGACACAGTCTGAGAATTGTGATTGCCATTGACATGTATTCAACTATCCATTCGCCATGGACTTCACATAAACAATAAAAATGCAATTCTCAGAAACTTTGAATTTTCTATTCCATACATGCATTTAGCTCTGCTATTAATGAGCATAAAAAAGAAAACACACATAAACATTCAAGAGATAAGGGCAAATCCATCCATTACATGTGACACAAGTTGAAGAAACCTGAGATCCAATTTCTATCTTTATATAAAGCAAGAAAGCTCTGGCTTGACTGCGACATACAATGAGCATAAACTTCATCCAACTTTGATCAAAGTGGATAATAACAGAGGTAACTTTTGTAAGGTTGTTACCTTTGATCTGAATAATTTGCTAAAGGGGAATTTGTCATATGATCACTCGATCATTGTAAAAAATAAACTATTCAGTCCCTCCGATTCTACTGAAGACTCTCTTCCTGTAAAAGCTAGATAAAAGCTTCTCTTCCTCAATGTTAAAGAATGTACAAATGGAGATGTCTTGTTACACTTGGACATCAAACTGCACAAGAGCCGAGAAAACACATCCAACGGATACAGTACGACCAAACTAGAAAGGAGGGGAAGTGTGTGGCCAAAGCCCTCAACGTAAAACAGACTGATATCATTAAGCGAGCATGCTGAAAAAGTTGTTCGCATATTGCATTGGCCTGATGGCGGGATGTGGCTGCAAAGATGAAGAAGACAAGATACAGTACTTCAGATTAGTACCAACATTGGATTTTGTTATTTACAGATATTGCAAGCAATGGGAACCTCCCATAGGACAGAACCTGGCATCCGACAGAAGAATGAGACTTCGCTTCCATGGAGCAAGTTCAGGTAGATATACTGCATAAACACTAGAGGACAGGGGCTTACCACAGCGGAGAATGTGGTGAACTTTGGCTTCAGATCTGGCGCCTCAAATCTTATGAAAGCTCCCATATTGCCCATCTTCAATAAGTGAAACATGAAAAGCTTCATCAGTGAAAACAAATGATGAAAGAAACAAATAATCATAATAATTAATGACTGATACTTGAAGCATAATATTTCATCGCCTCACAAAACGGAGCAAACACACAAAATATGAGATCCGTCAAGAAAGCTAACTGACCAACCACCCTAATATATTTGAGAACGACAACCAACTTAACAAACCTGGTCGCAATAGTTGGGCGCTGAAAACACAGTTATCAGCTTCCCATCATGGGTTTCTTCGTAACCCTCATCTTTGACCTCATGTGAACGGACTACAAGATCTGAAAGGAGTTACATTAGGGTCATGTTAGAAGATTGGCTTGAAAATATGGATCTACTGGAAAAGAGACATAACTAAGGTTACACGTTTGATTCAAAATCTCCCGAGGTGAAGATTAATAACTGCTATACAGTACCGAGACGTGGAAAAAAACTCAGCAAACTACAGAGTGAAGTTACCAAGATTGTTATCTTGAAGAAACCGCTTTGTGACATCAGAGCCAAAAGCAACACCGACTCCTCTTTTGCTGGGTATCCGACCTATGCCGTCATGTGGGTCACTCCACAAGATCTCTGACATCAAACCTGACACAATATGAGGAACGATTGTAAGTTCCAATGATGTCATTCAACATCGGATATTTGTAGCTCATAAGTATAATGAACTTAATCCTGGTATAGGGATCATCAAGAGGTGTACCTTCATCAGGAGGTTCACGAAACCGGTTAATTGCACGAATGTCACTGAGCTTAACACCATCAGAACTGAACAGACCCCCATGTACTACAAAAATTTTCCCATTGATGACATTCGCCAGAGGCAAGCAACAAAAGACTTCCGTAAACATCTCGCTCATAGTGTCATTGAATTTAGTCTTCACTTCCCCATCAAATCCGTATATTTTGTTCATACTCTTGCTTTCATGATTTCCCCTGGACAGATACAATCCTGCGGCAATTTTCACAATGAAGACAATACAAATAGGAAGTGAGTAATTTATGCAATCATAGACTTTATGATAACAAGGAGGCCCGGCTAGAATACAAAGTGCAAAAGCATAATTTCGGATGCACCACGCGTTCAATTTGATACAAAATGCAGGAGGTTGAAAAATACCGGTTGGGTAAAGGCATTTGAATGCAAAGAGAGTGAATATGCACTCCACCGAAAATGAACCACGATCCACAAAATCTCCGTTAAACAGATACGGGTTCTCCTCAGAAGGTAATCCATTGAGCTGAAATATATTCAACAGGTCGTAAAACTGCAAGACCATGAAGTATGAACTCGTAAGAATAGATATCCCAAAGGTCGTACGATTGATGCTTTGGATAGTACGATTCTGCACTATTGTTCCAAGGAAAGCTCCCTACTTAACATGATGAGTCCTAGGTGAGAAAAAAATCCTACATAACTGTCAAATTCAATATCGGTGGTTAACAGAACGAGAAAGAGAGAAAAATTTTCAACATACCTGGCCGTGGATGTCTCCACATACGGTAAAGTGCCCATTTGGAGGAATTGTGATGTCAACTAATGTTGGCGTTACAGTCAGCAATTCATGCGTTTGCAAGAGTATTTGATAGGCGTATCTGGCATCCATATCAACTATTGTTAAGATTCTGGTGTCACAAAGAGGAGGCTATGAATAGGTATAAATCATGAGATATTATTGCTTACTGCAGTCCATGAACAATGGAAGCATTACAAATCCTGATCTTGACAGAGCTAAAGGTACAACACATATCGATCCACAGGATACCGACAAAATCAACTGCTTTCCATCTTTAATTTGAGCTCCTTTAGTATGGGAATCACATGTGAGCACCTTTTATGTAAACTCTTCTGATTCTTAAAGTCGTCCATCATCTTCTTCACAAACTCTAAAGTTATTTTATCCTCTATCCTAGCCCCTTGGTAAGAATCCTCCACCTCTGCGAAACATTCAATACGAAGGAATAAATGTAAAACTCAGTAAAGAAGACGTAGACCACAATGAGAGATGCTCGCACTAACAACTTCAGACAATAACTGCATATTAAAAAAATGATTTAATCAAAGCTAACCTCTCAAAGGATACCAAGTGAAAGATCCTATGAAGAAGGCCCCACTCACGACATCATTCCACACAACATCAATAAGGATGGATAATATCAACTGGAAACTTAATCTGATGTTGTTACTACTTAACCTCCTCGGTGACTGACCAAGAAAAAACATAGCATTGGTTGAAACTATTCACCTATGGTACGATAATCGAGTGTCGTAGCAACAGATTGTGAATCCAGTGCGATGGCCTCTTCGAATTTGGCCTTCGCTACCGCCTTCTCACATTCTTTTAGCTTCTTCATAGCATCTGGATCCTTTGGAACAATTTTGCAGACCTGTTTCGAAACAAGACACCCAATACACAACATGAGTAGATGCTGACACAAACAAGTATCTTTCTATGTAGAAAACATAAAAAATTCTTGAGGTGAACTGTCTAGGGTGGTAAAACTATCAAAATGATAGTTTTCATTCCCACTTTGTGCAATGGGTATGGCAAAATACCTGGCGAAAATCTTTCGGGGCTTCTTTCATTTTTCCCATGGCCAAATATGCTGCTCCTCTCCTGTAATAACCCTGCGTCCATTAAATGTGTCAGCAGAAATCCACTGTACAAGTAGCTCTCAGATCAATAACAAGCTTCCACAAACCCCCGTGAAACTAATATGACTTCGATACATAAAAATTTACTACAAGGTGCAATAGGCTGTGTACTCCTGTCCTAAACACACGTCTACTCTGTATTTATTGTAAAGAGAGCAGCCGAGACTATGACACCTAGCATATAAAAAAACAAAGGAAGAAAGCAAATAAAAGATATCGATTGTACACAAACTAGAGGCAGATTTTATCAATATGCATTTGGCAAGAGTGAGTACACGCACTCATTGTGGGCAATAGGGCCACATAAATAAATATAAAAAACATGATCAGACATTGATAGCTGAACAGTCGACCGTGATTGCTAATGAATGCTTCAGAACGTAGGCATAGAAGAGGATAACAGCAACTGCATCGAGGTTTGTTTGTTAAGCGCGTTTGTTAAAGTAGAACCGTTCTCGAATCCTCTCTGTAGTAGTATAGATAGATATCACAACTGGAATTAAGGAAAAACTATCAGTGATACCGACCAGGTAACCGGAAAAGGGTGTGTAAACTTGAATTCTATTAACGTGGAATAGAAGTCCAAAAATGCAAATTGGCTCTTTCGGGAATATTTATCATATTCCCGAAAGAGCACGGGAATATGATAAATCGAGTACAACTACTAAACGAGCGCCAGGGATACAACATAAATAAGAAGCTGTGCCATTGTAGTGAGGTTCCAGTTGTACCTGGAGGTTAGTAGCAAAAATTGCTTCGCATAGATAATATGCATGCAGCCAACTGGGATGCAGCCTGAATAAAAACTGGATGATATTTGTGGTTGAGAGAAAGTGCCCTATGCCAAGGTCAGGTGTTTTACCTTAAGTACAGACAGTTTGTAAATCTCGATAATTAATTCAAGTAAAAACTGGAGTCTTTAAATTTGGGCTTTAGCATTGTAAGATGGACTGAAAATATTAATAACAGCTCAAGTAATGATTGATGCGAACACATGAACAATTGAATGAGACATGTATTATAATCTTATATCAATCTACAACATATATCAAAGTCCTTGTAAAATTGTAAGTCTCCATCATTCATATTCGTTTGTCGTCATGTACAATAGAAGCAGCCCCTAACGACTTCCTATCACATTCGAGTGACGTTCACAAAAGTCAATTGCAGCTGTGATACGAAAATTATCCTCATCTTGGTGAATTTTGATTATATCATGAAACTCACAATTCAAAAACTGCTTATGATACATTCTAGAGTTGACTCTTTAAGTACCAGCGATACAAGGGGCAGTCTCATCAGCTTTTATGGTTAACACGAATGTCTGTGATACACGACCTTCTCCTACCAACAACGTACTAATCTTAAAGTTGAATACCATCGATAACAGTTGACATCAACCCAGTAGGCACATAATCTCCTGTCTCGCTGATATTAAAATTATGATCCGTACCTTGACATACTTGGGGTTGCATTCGATAGATTTGGTCGCGTCGGCGATGGCGCTACCATACTCCTCTAACCTTGTGTGAGCAAATGCCCGATTGGCATACAGCACCGCATTATCCGCGTTCAGTTCGATAGCCTTGGTGTAAAGGTCCACTGCGCGAGAGAATCTGTGGGCTGCAGGTTGCCGTGCACAAAAAATTGGATTAATTAAGCAGCACATTAACAGTACATACTCACAAGACCCATAGAACGTTGCGTGTCGCGATACAGAACTCATATCAAATAATTATGAACGCATGAGATCTCTCTCTCAAAAAAGGGAGTGATCTGTGCCACACAGCCAGGCAGAATGTTCCCACACAAGCATGTTACTACTAGTGCATGTATGAAGCTACTCCTCACGACATTGAGGTCAGTGATCAGTCAACGAGGTTACAACAAACAGAAAATTCCACTGATGTGGGAGAAAGCTGAGCAGCTTCGTGGTGTACAACCGATAGACCAGAACTTGTATCAATTGCTCTCAACAAGAGAAGAATGTTGCTGGACCAAGCTAACCTTGAAATGCGACATTTGCGGCGGCCTTCAGCTCTTCCGATTTCTCGAGGTCCGAAGACGCAAAGCCATTTGTGGCAGCCATCATAATCTACGTAAAAAAACAATGTCACCTTTGATGCCCCACCGGCCACCTTTCCCCACCAGACCGTCTACCTGAATTCTCTGTCCCACAACAAAACCAGGCCCACTTTCGGCTCCTCCAGGCTACGAAGGACCCATCTGTCGTCCTCCTCCGCAAAGCACACTTCGCGACTCCATCCGGCACCTTGAACTAAACACCGCCATCTTGCCTAGGCAGGCAGCAATAACGCCTTCCGCATCATCACTCCCTCCCTCTGCAAGAAGGCCAAATATTTTCCCTCCCCTCCCCTCTCCTCTCCTCTCCTCCCCTTAGCTCTCTCTACTCTCTCTCTCTCTCTCTCCCCCTCCCGCCCTCCCTCCCTCTCCCTCTCCCTCGTTCGTCCTACTGCCCAACCTCTACCCGCGAAACCGACACCCAAAAAAACTGCTGAACAATCTCAGGAATATGGCGACTACGACAACAATGTATTCTAATCTGCGACGCGGGTTCCCGGACGCTTCTCGGCCAGAACAGACCGTGCTTGGCCTTCCCTCTCTTCTTCTTCTTCTTCTCCGCTGCGTCTCCTCCTCCTCCTCCTCGTCTCTCTCTCTCTCTCTCTCTCTCTCTCGCGTGCCTTTCTTCTCTCTTTCCTTTCCTTCTCTTTCGTCTCGTCTCCACCGTCTCTCGTCGTCCTCCGTCCCTTCCTCCCTCCTACGTCGTCGTTCGTACAGGCGAAGAGTTCTCTCTTCTCTTTTCACTGTGCTCGGTGGACAGGACCGAGCTGCGGTTAAGTCCACCGGCGGTGAGAGCCAGATGGATGGATGAATACCGTATATGTTCGGTCATGTTGGCATGCCGACGTGGCATACGTACCGGGGACGGAGCTTGTCAGTCAGTCAGAGTGCCATTCTCCAGGAAGCGCATGCGTACGTAGTCGTCGCGTGTTTGAGTTACGAGATCGAAACGAGCAGAGTTAGGGTTAGGGTTCCTGGATGGTCGTCGCGGATTGGATGGACGAAATCAACCACGTTTGCTCACATACGGTACGTACTGTACTGCCTTCGATGGATCCGGCAGTCCAGTCAGCCCAGTCCCAGTCGGATCCCTCGCGGGCCCTCAAAAGTCCGAAATGCTTTGTACGTATCGTATGAACGAGATTCCGGTTTAGTGAAACTGTCCCATTGGACGGACCTCCTGTAGGGTAGGAGTGCCGTACCGTACGTCATCTTACCCTCTCTCTTCCTTCTGAGCTCTCGTTCTTCGTGTTCTTTGTCCTCCCGTCGGTCTCTGTCCGTTCACATGGACACTCTGCAGGAGAGTAGAGCAAATCATAGGCCCTGTGCCGAGGAGCTATGCATTCCTCTACTCTCGCTGCTCTCTCTCTCTCTCTCTCTCTCCCTCCTGTCCCTGTCACGCCAAAGGAAATGATTCGATCGACCAGATGTGGACTGCACTCATCAGCGGGGAATGATGTTACAGGGATTCAAATGATGGCTGTCTGATCGATCCAGACAAGATCAAATGCATATGAGCTCCGATGCTGTACTCGACTCTGAGTCACACTGGCTGTGATGAATGGTGGGTCGGTGGCGCTGTGGTGGTTTGGGTTGTTGGGTGGGTAGTACAGTGGGGTGGGGTGGGGTGGGGTGGGGTGAGAAGGAATCACAAGTCGTTCTTCCGTGTTGTTCTCCACTTCTTTCTTGGCCGATGAGCGCTTGCTTTGCTTTTCAGTGTTGGGTCCGCCTGGCAGATGGTGAACGTGTTTTAGTTCTTTGGGATTGCTTCGGGAGCTTGATTGTGACCTTACTGTTATGGAACGTCAGCCTGGTCAAAGTTCCGAAACTGGTGAAAGTCGGTCCAGAGCGTTCTGAACGCTTCACTCCATTTGATATATTCCTCGTTGTGGCCGACCTATTGAACAGAATGAATGCTGATCCCCGCAGTTTGACTTAGCCCTCTTCTGATAAGTTTCCCTTTCTCTATTCTTTGAAGTACGTAGACTAATAGCCTTTGTTCTGGTTTTGGTGTCGAACTTGAGTGTCGGGATGAGATCCGCTGAGATTGCGAAGCAACCGTGGGTGGATTGGGTTGAGGGAAGACAGCGGCAGCTGCAATTGTTGACTTCGTTTGCTAGGATGAAAGTTGAAGATGGTATGCGCCGACCTGGTGAATTTGCTTCGAACACCTGGGGACATCCTGCCCTACCCATGGAAACACGTCATCTGACCCCACGGTTCAGGGCAGGGAATTCGCAGATAGGAAAAGCTTCTTCTTGCAGCCAACAAGAGAACATCACGGTGACCATGCGACAGCACTGTGTTGAGCCGGGGAGAACAAGTTTGTTGAATCGCGACTTGAACAAGTATCCGCAGGCTGCTCATGCCATGAACACTATCCAGGTCTCAACGCTACATGAACACGTCTAACTGATTTGCGGAAGCTGAATTTTGTCCTCGAGCGGAAGAGAAATGGAACTTATTGTTCAGGACAATATTTCCATTTGCCTTCCCCTCGAAGACAAGTTCTGCATTTTATCATCGAAATCATGGAACGCAAGTCCAATGAAGTTTGCCCACTTCTTAAATCTTCGTTTGTGCTTGTAACACGTGCGTTTGCATGCTGCTTCGACATAGAGTCAGACAAAACATTCCAGGCAAAATGAGATCCTTAACCTTCGCAGGATCAGCACAGATGTCATGGAGACAAGAAAGGTATCATACGTTGTGAGATCTGTCCTCGATCCTCGAATTGGGAATCCTCAGCGGTGGTCGCTTTGCAGAAAGTTTAGATTATTGGTTGTTGGAGGCACAGGATTGCGACGTTGGAAGTATGAAAGTTAAGAATCCTCAGTGAATTGAACTTTTGAAGTCTATCATCCAGGTGCCGTCGTGTGAAGACTTACTACCACATCCGAAATCTCATGTAAACTCAATTCAAGAGGTGATTTCGATAGATGTATTATCGACAGCAGCTAAAGCTCTAGACTTCAACAGAAATTCTACAACCTCCGATGGCGCCTGTTACCCACAACCTGCGTGTGCCGCGATTCTCGACACACCAGTTCCGTCATCTCATTACGAAGGCAAGGGGTTTCGCGATGAGATCTTTGAAACTGGAATCACTATTTTTGAAGACGATCTGGAAAGCCATGATCTTGACACACAACGTGTAACAGCACCGAAAGCTTTTGGCCCCAGAATTGTGAGAGCATCTGGATCAAATCATGGTTCTGGCCCTGTAGTTGCCTTGCAAGGAACTTGTCGGGCCCCTGAGCTTCACTCCGAAGAGGTTTCCTTAAATCAGAGAACGATGGAACCAGATCGACCCACCATAACCTGGCTCAAAGATACAAACAAATTTACTGGTCTGAGGAATCCCAAGACCTATGGGATGACCCTAAATGAGTTATTTGAAGGGAGTCAATCGTCAAGAGGTATCGCCTCTAACTCAAAATACAGCATGGGGAGTGCTGAACATGTAACTTCTCATCACCTTCGAAATGCAGGTATGTATTCAGACCATTGTCTTTTCCCTTGAGCTCCTGCCTGTAAATTAATAGGAGATTAATGTTTCACAAGAATCACATCTGTCAGAAATATCTTCATAATTAGCATTTAACTTTCTTTGGTAAATCTGACGTCTTTGTCCAGGTTTGTGTATTTTACAATACCAACGAAAATAACTCGGATCATGTCCTTAAATACTAGAGTAATTTATGGTCGTAACACTGAATTCTCCAGATGTTGCTGAAATCCGTCACTCCACATCTTCCATTGATTCTATGCAAAAGGAAGATCAAAAGTTGAAAGACAATATCGTCTTTTTAGACAACGTCCATAAACATGTATATATATATATACTGTTCAGTCATTGATTTCAGGTCTGTGGTCCCAAAGTGGATTGTGCTATCCTTAGCAGGATTTCCTGTTTACACAATCATCATTTTTTGATGCCTACAAATTACTTGCGCAAGGTTTATCCTGATATAGAATCACTCTGTCTTTCATGGAAGCATGAGGGACCAACTCTAATCCTTCAGAACTTCATGGTTTATCGAACCTTGGTTTTAGTTTTGCTTTTGAAACCCATCACAGGACTCTGCAGAATTCTATATATCATATATGGTTGGCTAATAGATTGAAGTTTGCGCACTACGCTTCAGAATCAGCAGGATGGAAGGTTCGCAGACATATAAATTGGCGTATGCATGAACGGTAAGCTAGAGAGTACCTTGTAAATCCCTTCATTCTCCTCCGGTTCCCAATCACTTCCTGTTACAAGATCCTTGTGCCCTCCTCTACTTCTTTTAAAATAACACGCCATTATCATCCGTTTGTAGTTTGTTTTCCAAGACACATACTTTGTGTTCTACTGTCAGTCAGTACTCTTTGTAGAATTTCCAATGAGCTTTATTGCGTCCCTTATCATCTAAGCAGTATGGGGACAATCTTCTTCAAAAACAGGAGTGACCTCTCATCCCGAAAGCGCGAAAAGACGCGGTCTGGACTGTCTTGCCACCTCCTTGGAGGTATGCCTCCTGAGACTCATGGACAGGTTTTTCAGGATATTGGCTACCTCATAATTTCAGTGTTTTATACATGTGCAAAGCGCATCGTGATTCTATGTATATCAAAGGTTCTAATGTTTGGCAGTTCTAAGGTTCAATATTGCTGCTCACAACCAAGCTTCCACCATGTAAAAGCAATCTTCTTACCGGACTTCAAGTAAGAAGTAGCGACTAAGTCGTGTATTTGAGAAACCCAGAATTGCCCATCATCCATATTTATAACTTTTCACGTATATTACCAGTAAATAATTTCTGTTTTCCGAGGACGATGTAAACAAACTGAATCTTAATGACGGTTGGGTGTTTGAAACTGTCTTAATCCCATGATGTCATAGGAGAACTTGATACTGAAAGCCATGGGAGACCAATATGTCACAGACGAAGGAAGCCCGAGGTACTCGTAGCAGATTTACGTGAGAAGGTAGAGCGGAACATCAGTAATGATGAAAGGAAACATCAACGAACTGCGCATAAGCCGGTGGTGGTGAACCTCGAACTGTTGTGGATGAAAGTACATGAAGATGTGGGTTGTTGACCAAAGTACCAAACCCAACGATCATTGCAGGATATTGGATAATCACTGACGCTTTGAATTACCCACAGTCCCGGCAAACACATTTTGTAGACCGTGTGTGACAGAAATTGTTATCACTCAGGGTTTAAATTTGATTCTGTTCCTACAATAGCAGGTGAAAATCGAGGGCAATGTCGGCTCAGTGTACCAGGAAGCACACTTTGTAGAACATTTGTTGACAAATGGACTCACTCAGGTTTGAAATATAATTCTGCTCCTACAATAACAGGTGGATAACGTAGGGCATTGCCGGCTCAGTGTACCCGGAAGCCCGACAGTGGAAATTGCCGATGAATGTCCCCGGGTCTCGGTCGAGAGTTTGGCGGAGGATGGATCACTGGAAGAAAGTCAGCTTTCAGGAGAAGCAGGTGACCAACGTTGTTCATTTCATTCACTGCGAGCCGAATATGCTTATTCGGAGACTTATCCGGAAGTTCTCACTCCAGCTGAAATAAATGAAGACAGCTGTAGGCTGAAGTCAGACTATATATCATACACAATCTACTTAGTAGTGAATAGAAGAGATGGAAATGCCCTGGCATTTCCATCTCTCCACATTCCGCCATTGGTCTTCCGTAGAATATCTTCGAATCCAACCCCTTCATGCAATCTATCATGAAACGATATAAGCGTATATGCTCTCTAACGTGTTGGTTCCACAGATAAGTACAAGACGCCTCAGAAGGTTGCTGAAATGCAAAGGTGATTATTGATCAAACTCTTGGACAGTGTACAGCCCTTTCGGTTTTGTTCGTTTCGCTGTGCGCTCGCCAACAGATGAGTCATCATCTCTATCGATGACATTTTAGAACATACCATCAACAAAAAATTTCTCGTTCTTCCCATTTTCTTATAATCGTGCATTTGTGTGCTTAGCAATTAATTGGCTGAGAGGCATAGTTAAGTAGCTCATAGCATGTGGTTATGCATTTGGAGATAATGTCATTATCTAAAGTGCTGTTTTTTTCCAGGCTTGCAGATAAAGTTCTGGATGCTCTTCTTATGGATGTGGCGGGTGAGCTCTCAGGAATTTGCACTTCTGTTGTTGACAACTTAATATCAAGAGAATTTGGTGATATCTGGGAATGAAACACATGAAGTGGCATAGCAAAGCAAATAGGCATGCCTTGCTGTGCCATGTACGCGATGTGCGCATATCCAGGACTCCGTTACGGTTGTTCTTCACAGGTTTGTGTTCTTGTTCTTGTACATGCGAAGCCCTCTTGGTGGCCCATGCAGGACACAATACAAGCTAGCATTACCTGTACATTACCATTTTTCGCCTTTTTGTTACCTGGAGCATTTGAAATAAGCACTATTCAGCATACCAGTCTTCCACAATGAAACTCGAAGTACAGATTGATTATTCTATTTCACCCTTCACTCAATCTTCAACCTGCAGTTCTCTCGCAGTCTGCACAGCCAATTTCTGTATTGTATTGGCCTTGCTTGTATATCTTGATGTCCTGAATGGTAACAGATGCATGCGATTCTTCTTCAGTACCTTAACCTGCGTATAATGTATCTGCTAAACCTGCTCAGCTCTTTTGCAAAAGTGTATCGATATTTGTTGTTCTAGATCCGTTCGTTTTTCTCTACTGGCTTCGTGCTCGGGGTGTCCAATGTTACTTAGTGCCAACCGAGGTGTTGCAATTCTTTGTGGGAAATCGGGATTCCACCAACTAATTCGAAGCTTCTAACTTTCGGATGAACTTTGAAGTTAAAATTTTGCTCATGCACAAGAGTTTGATTGTGAGCTGAGTATGCCTTGGGAATAGGTGGAGTGGATTGATGAGCCCCAATTTTCTATGTTGGTACAAGTCTTAGGATTCGTATTGAGCCTTGTTATGATCTACTAGGATTGCCTTTCGCCAGTATCCTGTTGGAACCTCTCAACGTTGTTTTCCGCATCTATGGATCGAGTGTCTGCTGTAATATCTCTCGTTCTGCTGATCGTTGATTTTATCACACCATGCTCTTCAAAGTGTGGCAACATATTTCCTTTCCAGTCACCCGTTGCCTGTGCTAAGTACTTGCATGCGTCCTTGCTATGTACACTCTTTCTCGTCCTTTACGAATCTCGATGGGAACAACTTCAAGGACGGTGCATTCTCGGTCTTTCTATCTGAACTCTCTCTGACCAGTTCCGTTTCATGCTCCGAGCGTCCTTATTTAATATGTATGCACGGAGTTGTTTTCCTCACAGGTCCGTGCATGTGTTTTTGTTCATAAATTATTCACTACTAAGGTGCCACGTCAACAAGTTCAATGTTCCGTGAACTGGTGGCCTTCTTCACCTCCAACTTTTCTCAAGGAAAATGTTTGTAGCTTGGGTGTACGACATCTCATGTCTACACCAAGCTCGAATTCATGCACCGGAAACCGGATGGGCACTGACCGCCTTCACCGTGGCACAGTCGGGAAGCTTGTAGAAGAATCCTCTCGAACGTGGTTGCTTTCTTGAGGCTCACTACGAGCATGGACGGAGAGCCTTCCCATTAGCCCCAATGAGGGCTTATTATTTGTGATCCATCGCATTCGAAGCTCAAGCCAGACGCTCCTGGCAAACAACTGGACGGATGTGGATGACTGAGATCCTAGAAAGCAGTCGGAAAGATCTCGTCAATGACACGCGCGACTTTGTCATTCGTTTTATCTCAACGTTCAAGGCGGAAATCTGCTGATGTTCAATAATTTTGAAGCTTTGGTTGCGGTTTGTTCTCCTCTTACCACTTGGTCCCGACCTTCCAGTGACATGTGTGAACTCTTTAATTGTAGATGCAAAGTTACTTCACACCTTTCCGAACTTAACCAAATCAAATCAATAACATTAATCTTTTTTCCGACTGGATGGTTGTTCCCATACTCTTTCTTATTCTTCTACGCCTATTCCCCTTCCTCATCCCAACAATACTTGGAGTGATTATGAATGGCGAATCTGTAGATTCTCTACCACACCTTTTCCTATATGACATTGCGGTCTAGTCGTATATGGGTACTTTTTAAAAAAAGTTCACAATACCCACATTATTTTTAATAAGTGGGTCTTATTAGTAAAATTATGTATCATCTATTTTAAAAAAGGTGAATTCCAATTAGTTTTACAAATTTCTACAGAGTTCAAACACATGATTCTTTGTGTGTATTGAACTACAGTTCATTGGCTTTGACGATTTTTAAGTAATGTCCTTACGTTGAAGTGATATGAACAACTCTGGAACAAAATTTAGGGTTTAATTTATCGTTATGGTCTAACTTCTTACCTACTCATTCAGCAGAATTACAAAAGTAAGCCATTTAGATACCACATGATGTATAATAACATACTATACAAGATCCGAATTCCGTAATATAAGATTATTGCATATGAAGTGTTGCCATCTTCCGAACATACTGTTAAAAGACGTTATTGTGCGGTAAACGAAATTGTTCTAGATTTCTAAGGTGAAATAACATTATTTTATTTTTGATTATAATTACATTATATGTTATCTGAAAATGATAAAATAGCGTAATTTTTTTATGAATATATGAGATAAGTTGAACAAACTATGGAGCTTGACCTAGTTTTTATATGTCATAGTCTGATACACATCAAACAAATTTAATTGTTTCGATTTATTACAAAACTCACAACATACATGCTATGGATTACAAATTTTTTTTAATTCTAAATACTACCAACATCATTATTACATTTTTCTTATCTTGATATGATTTTAGATCATATTCCTTGATTTTTATTTAGATAACCTTGAAAAAAAGTACTCTTAATTTCTTATCATCATAGTTTAATCTTGTATTGTAAATATTGTCAATGAATTAAGGAATGTATGACATTATAGAGATTTACTAAGTAAAAGATAGAAGATTATTTGAGTAGTACAATAACTTAAACTTCAAGGCATACTCATGAATTCTAATTTTCTGTATATGAAACTCTTTTATAACACGGAGAAGACGGTATACAGCACTGTATTAAGCATCAACACATATCTTTGTGTATCGATAATATACTGAACTATCACTGTGATCAAACGGGATGCTAACTTGTAAGTGTAACTAACAAATTAGTGTGATTAATTAACGAACACACAAAATATTCATTTAACATTCATAATTCAATATCATTTATATTCATATTTTCATCTCAATCAGCTCTATTTAATTTTAAAAATTAAATATATTAACATGTTTTGCTTTGATTGAGATGTATTCAAAAATTTCACTCAAATTTGTCATGACATTTGTATGGATTCTAGTGATTTCAAAGCAATTTTTTCCCAAAAACTGCATGATTTTTTGTGAGTTCACACACAACAATTGTCTAACTTAAACAAAGAACGTGATTACTCGGAAATAAAAAATAAAAAAAACTGAAAGATGAATAAACCTTATGCTGTTAAAATATACACATTTCAATCACATTTGTAGTTGCAATACAGTTGCGAAAAAAAGGCAAATTATATGTAATGAACAAATAACTCTCACAAAGAAGGTCAAGACATGTTGGATCGAGTAAACTTATATTATGAGCTCTTCTCGAAAGATACGGAACGCGAATGAAAAGGATGATAAGAACCAAGAATAATACGCTGGGGAATAAGGATGTATTTATTTTAAGCATCCGATGGTCACTTTATCCTTATTTCGACAGTGGAGACCGTCAGATTTGCCGAGATTTCCAGATTCTCCCGCAGTGGCCGTCCGATGGTGAATTTGGGACATTCGGGGTTCCAGAACTTTCGCTGAGAGGAAGAGAAAGTTGGGGATATGAATTGAGCGTGAGGCACTCCCTCTACATCCCATGATTCCCATCCCATCCCATCCCATCCATTCCGCGCCTGAGCTCACCTGACCGTCACCGTGCCTGGCTGCCTCGGCCCTTGCTCGCCTTACCTCATCCTTCCGTGGCTTTGCCACTTGCTCTGCAATCTCTCTCGGAACCACATTCATCAAGCAATCTCCTTCCTCTCTGCTTGCCCTCCCTCTCTCTCTCCAGCCTCGCTCTGCCTGCGTTGCATCGCACTGCAACGATTTGGATTGCATTGGTGTTGAGAATCCAGGAGTGTCGCGTGTGTAAGGAGCAGAGATGGCCATGGCTGCGACCACCTCTCAACAGCTTTTGAGCTCCCAGTCGGGCATGGCCACCTTCGTTGGCCTCCGGGCAACTTCAGCCCGCATTGCTCCGGCCAGCTCTGTGGCGTTCCCCGTGCGCGCCAGCAGGTCGATGTCTGTGAGGGCCGCAACTGTTGTCGCTCCTAAGGTATGAATGTGTCCCTCGCGTGTGATAATTTCAAGGTTTATACCCAAGCTAGCTCGAAAGATTCAACGGTCTGGCTGTGGATGGAACGCTCTGTACATGAGGACTGCCGCATAAAACTAGCCTAGGTCTCGGTCTGTTTATTCTTGTCTTTTTGTTACAACATATTGAAGCACGAGCATCTGTTGTTGGAATTTCATGAGGTTTGTGGGGGTTTAGTAGGATGTTTGTCATGATGAACACCTATCACGAGTTTGCCTCGAGCCAGGGAACTGTGATGTTGTATTCTTTGTCACATTCGTCATTGCGCAGTTTAGACGGCTTACCCATTCTGTCCTTGAATCTGCAGTTTAAAGTATTGAAGCCTTTGGGAGACCGCGTTCTTGTCAAAATTCAAAACGTGGAAGAGAAAACTACCGGAGGAATTCTCCTCCCCACTACTGCCCAGAGCAAGCCCCAAGGTGGTGAGGTCGTGGAAGTTGGTGAAGGCAAGGTCATCGGCGACAAGAAGATTGAGACCTCCGTCACGGTACGTATACCTCCTTCTAAGTTTGTGGATTATCTTTTTGTGACTCCGTCCGCTCTTATGAACTAAACTGAGCATGCTTTCTGACATCCATTATGTTGATTACAGAAAGGCGATAACGTTGTCTACTCGAAGTTCGCCGGAACCGAAGTTGAGTTCAACGGCGACGACTTTCTTCTGTTGAAAGAAGATGACCTAGTTGGCCTGCTGAAGGGTGATGATATCAAGGACTTGAAGCCGTTGAACGACAGAGTCCTAATCAAGGTACATGAGAAAGTTTTCAGTGGTGTGTTTTGTGCATAAATGACAATTTGTTTGTGTAGGAAACCTGGTACAAACTCTCACTTCTGTCACGTCTACCGTCGTGAATTTAGATTCCCGAGGCTGAGGAGAAGACTATCGGAGGTGTTCTTCTCACTGACAGTGCCAAGGAGAAGCCCGTTGTTGGAGAGGTAGGTCACATTCGACTTTTGACCAACAAAAACTCGTTTCTTGATTCATGCCATATGGCTCACCCACCAATATGTTGGGTTATTGAAAGCCAATCAGAAGATTGGATTCTACTGTCTGTTTACTACAATTCGATCTCCTTTTTTGTGGTCCTTTCTGCCTCCAGCATTGAATCCATTGCACTGGGTTTACGGTGGGTGTAATAATTTGGAGTATGGAAATTGCACTGAAGGCTGTATCGTCCCCTCTCAGATGCTTGCTTAGTTGATCTCCGGGCAGTATGCATTAGCTTTGGAGATGCACTGGCTCCTTTTGGTAAACTTTGTGACAAGATCAATGGTTGAATTCATACACGGCTAATCGATTTGTTTGTGTCACAGATCATCGCTGCTGGTCCAGGCACCATCGGAGAAGATGGCACGAGGAAGCCCCTTGAGCTGGCTGTGGGAAACACTGTCCTTTACTCGAAATACGCTGGCAATGACTTCAAGGGCAAGGATGGAAGTCCCTATGTTGTGCTCAGGGCAGCGGATGTCCTCGCCGTTCTTTCTTGATTCTGAACATCCACCACACTTTCCTGTTGAGTCGTAGTATCCCCCTTGCGGCCCTAGTGAGAGAGATGTCAGTCTGGGTTTATTATGAACCCCATGTTTTAGAGTAGTGCTGTAATATCAACCACGGGTCTAGATTGTCATTTACCCGGGCAAATGTAACAGATAAGTGGTTCCCACACAACCACACCAACGAAAGTCCTCAATTAAAGGGCTCTTTCAACGAAAACGACTAGTCTACCTATTTTTCCGGGTGAAGCTGAATACGAACGGGAGTTGTTTTTTGGCCGCATTTTCATATTCTCGTACAGTATTTACAACAGCTTTATGCATCCTACCGTGAAATATTTCCATCTTTGTGCTTTGGAGTGTAGTCAGACAACTACACTCCTCGTTTCGAGGAATCTTTGATGGTAGCATTGTCTCATAGGATACATACACCCATTGCATACATGTAGGTTTCTTGGCGTGGGATATTCCTTTCCATTGTGTATTGTCTGTCCTTCCCCGGTTCAAGGAAAATTTCTATACTCGTTCGTTGATTCGCATTAATGCGCATGGTAGAAGTTGAAAAGTCCATGTTCCTTCATATCTTATTGTAAATTGCTAGGAATGAGTTATGAGAGTGGAAGAATAATCGTTAGGAGTAAATTTTCCGAATCGTGTCTTAGAAGTGAACGATGGTAGATTTGACCACGATCGAGACTACCATCTAAGACAGAAGGATGTATAATTGTGATCGTGCAAAGCACTCAACCCGACGAAAGTTCATATTAAACTGTGAAATATTTGCACGAGGAAATGAAGGCATATAGTATGTTCTCAATTAGAAGTTATTCTGTGTGCTTTGGGAAAACATGATTGTAACTCACAAATGTAGATCTGAAACTCTAATTTTGCAATTACATTACTTTTGAAGATAAGAAAGGTACGTAACAAATTTGAAAATGCATGCAGAACTAACAGATTGAATTGCAATCTGACGAAAATGAACTATACCTTGACATGAGCATGCCAGAAAGACAAAGATGGAAACACATATACGAAAATGATACTGAGAGAGAGAAAAAGGTTTCGAAGAGGGAAATTTATCTGTACTTCGTCTGCTATCAAAACAAAGAAAAGAACACGTAGGTGGTTACAACCATTAATCTTTTCTTTTAAGGTCTTATTGGATGTTCACATTTTTATACATTGATCAAGGAATTATTGTGAAGACGATTGTTCAATATTCAATTCCCAAAAAACCTATCCGATATGTGTGAGAATCTAAATTCGTCCTATCGTTGAAGAAACATGCTAAATGTTGTATGATAACTGAGGAAACATGCTAACTGCTCTTTGTTTGCATGAACAGTTGCTCACATTATTTACCTTCAATGCTATCTAGTTTTAATCATCTGTCGTTTGCTTCACTGTAATTATTTTCTTTTTCTAATAACGAATTGTACATTTTACTCTTTTATCATCATGCACATGAATAAGTTTACTGTACTTGGATTAAAGCTATTATCGCAACAGTTTTCTCAATACAATCGTTAACATTTATTTGACAGTGGTGTGACAGTTTACGCACAGTATATGTTTACAATCGTATGTGACTATGTACTTTTGTTCGATCGTCTGTGACTTGCACATGTTGGAATTATATAACAAATAATAGTCTGCATCGACACACATCGACTCACATCGAAGAAGCTGGCGTACTTCCAGTTTCGACATCAGCGATAAATTAGACTAATGAGATATGTATCGTCATTTGAGATTTAAAACTCACATATTTTCCAGCAGCAATCGCCGGCTGTTGACATCCAATCTTCTGTGCTTTGCTTCAATGAATTTTTCTTCTTTACCCAACAACGAATCATACCTTTTTCTTTTACCCATGCACACATGAAGAAGTTCACTGTACATCGATTAGAGATGGTATAATAACATTCATTTCTAGCATGCTCGTAGACGGTTATTTGACAGTAGTGGGACAGGGTTCGTCATTGTGTGTTTACTGTGATAGTGTATGCAGAATTGTACAATTGTCTGCACAAGCATATGTTGGGAGTAGACATCAAGAATTAGTTTCTACTCAGGTTGAAGCTGGCGTTCATTCATTTGAAATGACATTGATAGATGTTTAAAAGTTATTTCAGTTTGATGTTACATACAGATTGCTTTTTTCTCCACTTTCGACGTCATTGCATTTCGTCCATTTGTCGATTGCCGAAATGAAGCTGTTTTCTTTCTCCAACTACGAATTGTACAATTTGCTCTTTTCATCATCATGCATGTGAACATGTTCAATGACTTGAATTTAAGTTATTCTACAACAGTTATTCTCAGTAAACTCGTAGTCAGTTACTCGTATGAGGGTATGTACTACTATTCGATCGTCTGTGACCTGCAGATGTATATTGACAGCAATTGACCTTGCAACAACAGTAATTGACCTTACTATTTGCAAGGTGTTGAGATAATTCGCGAGGAATGCAGACATGAAGAAAGCTACTTGATGTCGAGAACACAATGGTCACAAGGTGCTGACATTAAGATGTGTATAATTCCGCTACATGCAACTCCAGGGCTACAGTCGACGAAAGCATCCCCAAATGAGGTGACAGTTTTTACTCGGAATTTTGAAGCAGTAGTGTTAAGAGAAAAGAGAGTGTTTCGCGTCAGTATTACTACGACTATGACACTGGAAGGCGGTAACCGAGACACTACACATAAAATTGATCACATCAAAAAAGCGACACATCAAATTGACTCATCATCGTCCCAATTCTTTAGAGTCCACTCGTTTCGTTACAATGAAATGGTCGCATCTTGAAGTTCTAACGGCATAGTAACAGAGAGGCGTTCAGTGTTACGTCTTCTAATGCGCTACCATCGTCGCGACAGACATGCATATTGTTACAGAAAAAGATAACGTCGGATTTCTTGACCAACACGAGACATACTATCCCAAATATTCTTGAATTGTGGTCATCTCCGTTGAACAATACTCAGCTAGAGACTGGGTAAAAAATAAACGTTCATATAGTGGTGAAAATGTAGTAAGGATGCAGGCAAAATTTGTAATCACAGAATCTTGACCGAGTAGACCATGATGTGCTCTCCACCATGTGCATACCTTGAGAAATGAATCCTTGAATTATCAAGAGCAGCACCACAATCACATGTGGGTGGAAGTCTATGTCTATCAAATCTATGAAGAAAGGGGATGAGAGAACTCTACACTGATGACAGCATTTACTTCTTCTTCTTGGCGGCTTCGCCGGCTGCCTTCGACTTCTTGGTACCGCGCAGCTTCTTGGCTCGGTTCTTCCTTTCCTTGACTTGCTTCCTAGACTTTTCTACCTTAGTGGCGAGACCGTTCTGCAGAAGGTGATCCAACATAATTTCAGTGACAGAAAACCCGATCTGTCAACGCACGTATCAGGCATCTAACCCTAAGTGATCCGATACCAACAACTCGATGCGGCTGTGGCCGTCATGTATATTTCATGTAAACGGCAGGCACATACATAGAGAACAAACCAACGAGCAGCTAGACAACAAGCACGCGACAACAGAAAGTCGAGAGAAACAGAAACAGCAACACCAGGAGAAAAAACCAATCACGGCAGGAAATCATCAACACACAGCAAGGAAACCCTACAAGGGAACAAGAAATTCGGAAGCCGGGGAAGAACGTGGACGTAGGGCCGAGAGTGAAAGCAGACTCGAGACACCAGGCTGGGCCAACGACAAGAGTGTAGCCTTCTACAGACGGGAACGAAAGTGCGAAACCTAAAACATGAAACTGCGTCGAAAGGGGCAGACGATCAGACGTTTGGAAGACACTCACCCTGATAAGTCTGTACTTGGGCTCGTATTTCTTAGCGGAGTCGAGGTTGTCGTAGATGAGACCGAATCCAGTGGACTTGCCACCTCCAAATTGCGTGCGGAATCCGAACACAAAGATGGTCTGGGCATCGCGCACCTCGTAGACCTTAGCAAGCTTCTCCTTTAGCTCAGCCTTGGAGACATTGGGCCTGCCCGGGTGCAAAACGTCGATGACCTGTAAACCATCGACGTGACAGAAATCAGACAGACATTCGAGGTAGCAGCACGACACATACAGCTACATCAGACACGCAAGCAGCACGACAGATGAGTCTTAACGTACGAATTGCTTGCGGGCGAGCAGCCTGTTGGTCATGAATTTGCGAGTGCGCACGGTGCAAGCCTTGGCGTCCGCCATGGTGTCCCGATCTCTGAAGCAGGATGCAGCTACGAGCGAAACTACGAGAGAAACAACGACACAGAGAAAGGGCAATCTCCACGAGCTGCTCACATCAAGAGCGAAATTGCGAGCCCCTGTTAGGGTTTGAGCGTACTCCCTGGACAAAGGATCTTATGATCTAACGGTCCCCATTCATGGAGGCTATTCCTGCTACCGCGCAGCGGTCACAGCGGTCACAGGATCCAGCTTCCATACCACGTAGAAGTAGGGAAGTAGCTTATTATGGTAGAGGTATGGTAGCACCACGGACCATGCCACGGACCCCTCTTTGTCCCTTGTGCCGTTTGCGACTTGATGAATAATTCTTGAGTTTTTTGTGTTTCACATTGCTGCTTCAATCTAACGAATGGTCTGAGACTTTTATACCCCTAAGGGAGTGGTACTACTAATTTGATTTACTACTCTCGCACTCTTCACCTCTATGCTGCTACAGATGTTGTTTACCTCAATTGTTACACATGCATATATCGACCATCAGGTTTATTTTTAAAGATTTTATGAGTGTTGCTCTCCCACACCCTATAATAAGTATATATTTGTACCGAGATATAATTTTTGTTCTCCGTTTTGGTTGCTTGAAGTTTTAGAAGACCTTTACCTAGTTGATTTTTACCATATTGTAGACATTTTCAGGTTATCATCCTTAAAATAGTTTACAATATAATTCAATTCTGTTGTTTTTTTTTTTCAATTCTTCACGAGATATTATGAGATATCGAATTATGTAATATTTAGCTGACGGAAGCTGCAAGAATATCAATTCGCATGGGCACGAAGGCTCCATATTCAAGAGTGCAGAGATAGGCAAGAGACTTTTTTCCATTGATTTTGTAAAGAGAAATTTTTACACCGATACCTCGATTTAATTTTAAACCGTCGGTACCATGTCAAGGCAAGTACGCAGCACGTACATTCCACTGATTATTCCACAATTGTACCACTATACACGTAATCGATCGATCGATACATCCCTCTGTTTCTGACTACCAAAAAAAGTTTTAAAAAGTGAGAATTTCAACGAACAGACAAAACCTTTGGAGACCTGATTGTTGCTGCCACATACCTATACATCATCCAGCATTCCACTATACAATTATCTCAGGTGATTCATTTCAGCTGGAGCGAAGCAGACTGCACAAATTGTGCTCACAAGCAGGACATTGTTCACTTGTCCCGTCGTCTGTACGAGTTACGATGAAAAGGTTGTGGCATAGGTATCCTCGTTCAAGTTCTGCTCCATCTGACTCACTGAGCAAAAAATCTGTGCCGAGCATGCGGTTGGTTTGTTGATGTATGGTTGTGTGTTTGCATACTCGCGGTGATAAACCTCCGTATGTAACTTTTCCTTGTAATTGTACATGATTTCGCTACCTAGGCGATCATATAGTATACAGCTCACTTCACAATGGCGAAGGAGTCTCCCACAGTCATGTTGACAAACATAAACTGCAGATCAGTGAGCAGATTCGGAGTTAGCTGACAGAGCGTTGTAGAAATGTCAAGTGATGGGTTTGAGTGCTAAGTGACTACAATCTAATGATTCATGTAGTACAAACAAATTCACAACCACTCACCTCAAATAAAAGCTTTTGACGTGTTGCTTGAATTCCAACGTAACCATACTCAGAAATGCGGACTTTACTCCACACATCCACCTGATAAGAAGCGGAGAATCGGGATTCTCAATTGAGGTGGAATAACGGGTTCAGAATCATTTAGTAAAGCGTTGGAGTTTCAGAAGCAAACAAGATATTTACTGAGCTTCTGAGAATTGGATGTACCTGCGATTTGAAGCCATCTAGTTGGAAGCCAGACATGCCAATCACTGCTTGAACGGGTGCAGCGTAAGTTGTGAAATTGTAGGTATCAAGTCCCGTGGTGTCTTTCGTGGAATTAACCAAGCATTTGCCTTGATAGACAGCACACAGCCGCTCGTAGTTATGCACGTGCCCCGCTAGAACCAAATCAACCTGGCACGTAGCGCAGCGAGGTTACAAGGTTGGCCTTCGAGGTCATTACAGTCCATTTTGACGTTTCAGCATACCAACTAACAAGACAAATCCACCAAAAGTACACGACTGTACTTTTGATTTCATACAGAACTTGAAATTCTCGGCTATTATTTGATAGATGTTGTCTGTTAGGAGGAAATCAAAACCCAGAACCGACCTTTCCTGCCAGAAGCAGGGGTTCTATCGCATCAGTATATTCTGTATCTACAGCAGGTAGAATAGCGTTGAGGACGCTGTCATATGACGAATACATGGGGCGATGCCTGCAAAATGAAAACATTTAAGCACTTTGTTACGAAGGAGACGATAGAGGTCCCCGAGAACCAGCTGTTAATATCATCATGATCAAACTTGTGAGTTACGGGGTCTTTCATGTGAAACGTCACGATCATATTCCATCCTCAACAACTTACCCAGTGTATACCACCCATGGTGTACGTGTGCGGTTGACAGACGCCAAATCAGCCTGAATCCACATATACTGCACGAGCCGTGGAACATTTTCATCAGTCAAGTTTCTTGCTAGCTAGAAAAAGTTAGTGATGTGGGCTTCTTCATTGATCGGCATCCGATCACAATAGTCAGGTGTAAATCAAACGGAGATTAGTCCTGTGGCAAAAAGAAATTCCTGTTAAGGTTGATATGCCATTGAAACTGTTGTATATCAAGGACATTTTCAGACTCACCCAAATTTTCCTGCGCTAAAACTAAGAAGGCGTGTTAAGAGAGTGGGCTGTCCAAAAGGTACTTAGAGATAAAAAGGAAGCAACTGCTGAGTTTTCACCATGAGGCCTTGACAGGACGTTTGCAAAATGTGATCGGCGTATTCAGACAAGAATATATTGATCAGCATAAATGAAATTCATGGTATAGACGAATGGATCGATCACCTGTTCCGAGCCAGCTTTCCAGTCGTGTTCAGTCGAGACGACAGTGAAATGAATTGGGCCGGATTCCAGTGAGTACCACGGTTTGTCCTGGGCTGGAGTGGGCATTTGAAAGTAATTATAATATAGAATGCCGCACTCTCCGCCAGAGTCAGTTCCGCTGTAGTAGGAACCTGAAAGTGGATGATCCCTGCACCAACCAAATTACACGGGTACAATCCGGTGCAGTTAAGCAGCATGTTGGACTTTGGTGACCGCATTGAATAACAAATACAACGAATGAACCATTGAAGGTATCTCGCTTTCTTTCCCAATAGTACTATTGAACTCATTAAACATAAGCCAGGGACTAAAGAAAATATCTACAACAACCCACCGAGAATTCGGCAGAAAAGGTGCTTTGAGGGCTGTACCGTACCTTTCATGATTTCCGATGGCTGTCATGTAAGGGACCCGCGACGCGATTGGTTGGATAAGTTCAAGAAAGTTATCCCATTCAACCAGGAATCCAGTTGCATAGCTAATGTCTCCGATGTGGAACACAAAATCAACATTTGCTCCTGACACGGCGGTCGTAATCGCGTCTATCACAGATATAGATCCAGGCTGAAATGATGGATAAAACAACCATACACGACAGTCTGTCAACATCATATGCCAGCAAAGTCTTTCGATTTCAGAATGTAAATGTTCTAGCGGCCTGTCTCTAATCCTTCATATTCAACTGGGTTATCTAACATAATCCTCACTTTTGCCATCTGCTGGGAAAATAGCAGCACCTTTCTCCATGTTAAAGGTCATGTAGAGAAATAGAGAACGAAGAAAAAATTCTAATCTATCCTCTAGGGATGAGAGTGAGAATTCAAAAGAGCGCATGACAGTATACCTGTATGTAGTGGATTGAGCTACCGTCGCGCTCTGCTTTACCCATATCTCCAAAGATGATGAGAGTGACCGCATCGTCCCCAGCTGCAGGTGGGGTGCTGAAATTGGTGCTAGGGGAGAGTCCTACCGCTTGGCTGTCATTTACGATAATGTGCGTGTCAGGAGTGCTTCGAAGTGAAAGAAGAAAATGCCTCTCTGAGAATCACTGGTCGTTTGACAGCGATGGTATTGGGCTTCAAACACATCAGAAACAGAAGCAAGGCTGTGTACCAAGTTCTCACCTTCCATATTGGTACGAATATTGAGTTGACGGTGAGAGTCCTGTCATGACGGCTGTGTGGATGAACCCAGGGTCGTGCCACCCGAAGTCGGAAGCTGCACTTGGCTCTGGACAGATCGAGACTTGAAGCTCAACAACTAGCTTGACATAGTACTAAACATTTGCAGCTATATCACATCTTCATATCCTCAATTCCCGCAAATCATATTGTAAAGATGGGTCGACCGTGCTGCAGCTGGGTTAATCCTTCATGTGCGAATCCAATCATATGATACACAAACTTGAACTTGACATCGACTTCTTACCACACATGTTGCTCTTTGTGAACGTGCCAACTGTCGAGGTCGCTGTGCTCCCATCAGCGTACTGAACTGTCTGAGGGGCTGCGTCTCCGCTTATCCATGTCAATCGCATCTGCACAAGCCAGATGCAAGTGTTGACTTCTACCAATTTCAGATTACAATCTACTGTTCACATTCATAATCAGAACAAAGTCGTATCCAACTGTTGAAGGCAGAATAATTTATCTTACCCAAAAGCTACTGTTATTCCTCTTCTAATCTTCTAATCGAAGCAACCACTCATTCATGGTTGATTTGCCAGCATGACAACATTCTACGTTTAAGGTATATCAGTGCAATCCACGAACCATGCAAGTACAGCGTCCCATATCAGAGGTTCCAGAAACATACTGAAGTGCCAGTAGAATCTATGCTCGAAATATGTCCATACAAGGGCGCTTTGGGATTAGCAAATGGCAAGGGCCCAGCCTTGTCGACAACGCAGGGAACCTGTAAACCACCTGTGAAGAGCACAAACATGATGTCCGTTCTAATGTTGATCAACCGAAAAGTGATCGAAGCGCTGCACGTCTTGACTAAACAGGAGCCAAATAAACCCGGCACTTGGCATTGACTTGACGCGCAAGAGAGGTAGCCAGGATCTTCTTTGAGTAATTTAAACTGCGCAGCAACAGAATTGGATTAGATTACATTAAATTCTGTGAACAGCAAGGACCGAAAAAACGACGACGTTGGTGAGACATACATCTCACTCACATCTCGATTTTCGACGTTGCCTGTTCTGATGAGCGTCGAATGAATCCAGAAGATAAACCGAGAGGAGTTCGACTGCAAGCAGACCTAAACGACAGCCGTACCTTCACAGGGTAGTGACATAGCAGAGGAAGCTCCGACGTGTCGCCAGTCGCCAATATCAAAACTGCAACGTCCGGACAGTTGGAGGTACTGCAGAGCACAAGGATCGTTCACGTTTCATATCAGAAGGTCTTCGATTGATGCTACATGAACTCAGTTTGCTGATAATAGTTAAAAGTGAAAGATCTTGAATTCGGGTTCCTGAATTATAGGCCATGAGAGCCCTCTTACGCAGAATATAAGCTTTAATGGATGCAATTAACACAACCGAGCACCCCTCGAAAAACTGACAGAAAAGAACACACCCAAACGACTCGTCAAAAAATGCAGGCCGAAATCTGATTTGAGCTTCATGTCTGGCAGCCACTTAAAGCACTGTGGCTGGTCCGAATTATTACCACTCACCTTGCATTAGATGGAGACACCACACCAAGCCAATCGTGGTCGCTGGGATTGACAACACCAGAGATGGAGACGGTCACATTCTGCGTGTCACTGAGAGGGCCAGCTGTATCGACTGTCATATTCACATACGGGTTCAAATCGAAGCAGTTCAGCAGACTCCGTCTGTTGATCGTTCTGAACGAGCTCTCGAATCCTCCTGCTCCGAGCGGATCGCCTCTCGCAGGCTTCCACGGATCGCTGGCATAAATCCTCTCATCGGGTAGTGGATGCTGCAACGCCTGCGCTACCACAGCTGCCAACAAAATCAAAGCCACCGCCAGAACACTCTGAGCGGAAGTAGGCATTGTCGAGGAAGGCAATCTGGCCAAATTTTTTTGGAAAAGTTAGCAAGATTCGTCAGTCGAAACAATCCGCTTCAGACTTGAGCTGGTCTCCGCATCCGCTCGAGCTGAGGCTGGGGACAACACTCGCAAGTATCGCAGCAGACGACGAGAGTTGGTCCGATTTGTAGCTCCCGGACACTTGTCGGAGCTGCCATCACGCCAGAGATATGTCCGGCATATGCCGTTTCCCGACGATCTACGTCTTTCTGCATGCGAAGCAACCATTCACGTCTGACCACCAGCTGCTAATCAATCGCCCTTACTCGAGGGGAGGGGGGGTTGACGTGACGGCAGCGGCTCGCGCTCGGAATCGGTGTTGATTCCGCTCGGATGCCCTCTCGCCGTCCGTCAGTTCCCCCGCGGCACGTCGCTCTGCCGTCGTCACGCATTGACACTGCACCCTCGCCTTGATCTGCTCGGATGCCCTCACCGTCCGTCAGTTCCCCCGCGGCACGTCGCTCTGCCGTCGTCACGCGTTGACACTGCACCCTCGCCTTGATCTGCTCGTCAACGTCGACGCCGTCCCCATCTGTCCCGTGCTTCCGGTCCGTTACATTCGGTTTCAGTTTTCGAACTTCCTCAAATCGCCCTCTCGCCTTCCCCGGCCCGCCCGCCCACCAACTTCGTGTTCTAGAGGTATTTAAAGTAAGTCACGCTTTCCCGTTAGACCTCGCCGAAGCAAGCTCCCGCGGCCTGCCACGGCATCCGATCCGATCCGATCCGATCCGCCCCGAGTCGCGACCTCGGCGTGACGCTAAATGGCCCGCGCGATTAGTTTGGAGCTCATTTCCGCGAGTTTAGGTGAATTAGTAATTTTGATTATTGTGATTTTCCCTTTTCCGGAAGAATATTCCGGATTCTTTCTAAGAATTGGCTTTTGCTTTCGATCTGTTGCGTCAGGTGTCCGCCTCGTGCTCCGTTGCAAGCGCTGGCGATGTTCCTCGAAGGCGGCGTCGAGGATCGTTTCGATGTCGGTCGCAGCTCGGCTTTTCGTTGCGTCCGATTCTTGTTGGCTGTGGCATGAGCCTCATGATCGACAAATGTTCTTTGCGTGCTCGAGGGAAAACATTGCGGCAGATTACTTACTCCCGTGGACACGCGAGGAAGGGGCCGATAACCAACATTCGCTAGGAATTAGAAGATGGTTGGAAGTGAGTCCATGACAGGTGCCAGGTGAGCCCTCCACTTCTCAATCGAGCGAGCACAACGAGACTGCAGGAGACCCGACTTCTCGTATCTTTGCGACCTAACTTGCAGAGGCGAGGCACGGAATCTTTGGTGGGGAAAGGAATATTCTTTCTCGAACATAATCTGTTTGCAAGCACATGCATTCGGTTCGGGCCTCCTTCAGAAAGAGATGATCCATGGCGTCTACCGAATCAAGATCTGGAAGGGGCTGTCGATCATCATTCTAGTGTATGAATATGACTAACCTCTATGGATCTCAGCGTCTCGTCACCGGCACCGCCCACCGATCAAGGTGAGCTGTGTAGTTCAAACACCGGACGACACCTCGGCCGAGGGCACCGTCGGGGAAATCAATCACACTCAGGCCGCCGTTATGGAATTGGAAGGTCCCTGAGAAGGTGTCGTCCAGACCGAGACAGTGACACAACATGGCTTCCAGAAGCACGTCGTGCCCCACCACTGCAACAGTCCCTTCGCCGTTCTCTGCCTGTACACTTTCTAAATGCTGAGTTAAAGTTTGCCAGGCATGGCCAGCTCTGGTGAAAATGCTGTCAGATTTTTCAGCCCCGGCATACGCATTTCGCTGCTCGCCGTCTTGAGATCTTCCTTCTCGCCATGTTCCCCAATCCAGATCCTTCAGCTCATCCAGCGAAACCACTTTCAAATCGGCTCTCTCCAGATACCGGCTGACTATGGCCGCCGTCTGCACAGCGGAAGGCTGCGGGCTACAGAAAAGAGTGTGCACCGGAACATTGAGCAAGTGTTCCGCAATCTTAGCGGACTGAATGTTTCCCAGCACATTCAGAGGTTCGAGCCCGGAACTAGCAGCGGTGTTTTTCGTGACAGACGAGGCTGTGGCTCCGTGACAGACGAGCACAATTCTGGTGCGTGTCTTCCGTCCCGCGGATTGCTCGCCCGAGAGGGCTGAGGTTGGCGTGTGGTTTAAGCGCTCCAGGCTCACATGTGGCGGCAGTCCTTCTGCAGCAGTCCGGGGGTTGAAATCGAGCACACTCACACCACAATTGCTCTGTAATAGATAGCGAAAGTACCTGGGCCCTAATCCTGTCGCTGTCGCAACCAGCGCTTGGTTGACAGCGTTGTGTGCAACCACCAAGATCGAGCTGCCCTCGTGCCCTAGGATGCTGCTCCAGCAACTACTCGCACGTTCCCACAATTCACGTACAGGATAATGACCATCGATGAGGAAATTCGCCGGGTCCTCTTTCCACATCCTGTAGGCGTCACCGAACAATTCCTTTCCGTGCTCCTTGTCCAAACCCTGGAAAGCGTACAGGTCGATCTCCCGAAGATCGTCCAGAGAGATCACGGCGTCCTTCGGACGGGCATCCCAGATAATTTCTGCTGTGTGCTTCGCTCTTGACAGCGGACTGTGAATGCAAACATCGAACGAGTCGGACGACAGCATTTGGCGAGAGATTGCGGCCTGCGACTCGCCTTTGGGAGTTAAGCGAGAGAAATCAGAGCTGCCCTGAATCCGACCGATCTCGTTCCATGTGCTCTGTCCATGCCTGACGAGCACCACTCGTTTCCTGCCCTGGACATGCGGCAGGCTAACGTTGCCCTTGCCATCCCCCATCGTTGTGGCTCGCACCACAAGCCCCCTGCGCCTGACGCTGCCATAATCACCAGTCCTGATCCTGCCCGCCGATCCGGCAACTGGGGCTCCAAACCATTGACAGCGAATGTCCACGCCTCGGAGCATGGTCACTTCACCAGCAGTCGCTCCTCTCTCACAACGCATTCGTCATGCTCCTGAAGCGCGCTTCGATTCGATCGTCGTCGCTGGTGCCGAATTGCACCATCGGCTCGTACACTGCGAATCGGATGAGCTCCAGTCTGCTCCGCGAAATGCTCCCGCGCAGAGACGACGACCATCACCCGTCCTCGATCGACGGCGAGTTGACTCGTCACTCTGGCCTGTCCACGTGGCACGACCTCATTCAGACGAGAGTCTTCTCTCCGCCTCAGACTTAACCAGGGTTACAAGAGGGTTACCAGACTGCAGCTCTTGATTCTCCCCTGACGGAAGGTATTTGCGTATTAGTGTTGTATCATTTTATCTATAACGGACATTAGTATCTCGACGTATATAAATACATGAATTTATATTTATATAGATTCATAGTTAATTTATTATAATTGAACAATAATAATAAATAAATTTAATCATAAATTATTGTCTAATTAAATGAATTTATTCTTATATTTAATTTATTATAATATGATAATAGTGTATTATTATATAATTCAACTATATATAATATAGTAATTATAGATAATTCAAAAATATATCTCTACGAGTATAAATGATGGAATTCAAATCGGATTCAAATGGAATCGGGAGACCTTCAAATCACTTTCGATGTCGATCATTTCGAAGCCCGTCAAAATCTGTGAACTACGGACACGAATCGGGAACGATCCGCTTTTGAAAGACCACGCTCTGCTCGCGGGCTAGCAGGAGGACGTCGTGTGGTGAGGGCCCGTCGGCAAGCCATGTCGCCATCCTCTCAGAGCCCATCGCGGAGGACTGATCACCGCAGCTGCCTACTGCGTCCACACCTACCTAGATACTGCGACCACACAACATGACTAGTTACGCAGTTGAGTTGATCTAGACGACGGCGATACCGAACGGTGTGCTCATGAAGGCCCCGGCCGTCAGCGGGAGTCACACGGTCGGGCTGGCTTCCGTCTGCAGTGTTGCAACTTGCAAGAGCTCACAGCGTGGCTTCACGAAGTCAAACGACCCCACAAGCACGAAACGAGAAGTCAAGAAGACTGAGAAGACTTTTTGAAGTGACAAGCTCTCTCGCAGACAAGGCGTGCACTTATCTACTGACGAGGAGGAGGATTTATATTTCACATACTCTCCATCGTCCTTCTAGAGCGGGCGTCCACTGGCTAGAAGAGACGAGATGACGATGAGAAGTTCCGTCCAAAGGGCTGGACTGCCACAGCTGTGAAACGGCTGGAATGGGGGGATTCAAAGTGCGTTCGTCCACAAAGTGTCAGAATCCGTTGCCGATGAGCCTCCGGCGACCGACTGACAGACAGAACCGATGTCAGACGAGGGCGGACGGAAAGTCGTCCGTGGTCATCCATCTTCCGGGCCTAAGAAACAAATTCCTCGTCCTCTTGCTCCCCACTCCCACTCCCTCGCAACAGCGCCAGTCACGGCCACTGACACGGCGCCGGGATCCCACCGGGTCACATGCGAATATGGACAAACGGGCGGTGTGGCGTCCGTGATGGCCCATAGACCGCGAGAGGCCAGACGGATGGAAGGGCAGCCACAGAGCGGAGGTGGATGGATAGAGTCCGAGGGACTGACGTACGGGCGGACGGAGGTCCGGGGAGGGGGGAGTCGTCTGGCGGAATGAGGTGCTGGAGAGGGAGGGCGAGGAGGCCGACTGGTCGGGGAAGCGAGGGAGAAGGGGGGCTGCTGCTGCTGGTGTGGTGTGGCTGCACTCTTTTCTCCTTCCCTTCTCCGTCTCCTCCTTATGCTGCTCTTCTTCTTCGTGGATCGGTCGATCGATTGATCGAGCTGAAACGTTGGGACGAAGGGAGGGCTGGCTCGCTGGCTATAGCAGGGCCTGGTGCAAATCGATCGATCTCGGTGCAACGCGGGCACGCGAGGCAGCGGTCTGTCTATACATCCTCGCGGGGCGAAGCTTTCTAGAGCGGGCGTCTATTACGGTCTCCTCCTTTTGCTGCTCTTCTTCTTCGTGGATCGGTCGATCGATTGATCGAGCTGAAACGTTGGGACGAAGGGAGGGCTGGCTCGCTGGCTCGCTGGCTATAGCAGGGCCTGGTGCAAATCGATCGATCTCGGTGCAACGCGGGCACGCGAGGCAGCGGTCTGTCTATACATCCTCGCGGGGCGAAGCTTTCTAGAGCGGGCGTCTATTACGGTCTCCTCCTTTTGCTGCTCTTCTTCTTCGTGGATCGGTCGATCGATTGATCGAGCTGAAACGTTGGGACGAAGGGAGGGCTGGCTCGCTGGCTCGCTGGCTATAGCAGGGCCTGGTGCAAATCGATCGATCTCGGTGCAACGCGGGCACGCGAGGCAGCGGTCTGTCTATACATCCTCGCGGGGCGAAGCTTTCTAGAGCGGGCGTCTATTACGCAAGTTAAATACATTGTCTCTGCCCCCTTATCCTTATGGCGCTTTCTCCTTCCGGTGAAGAGGGATTGCTTCATTCCGTATCACGGAAGAATCAGCGCCATAAGGATTCAGTCTTTCATGCCGCGCCGCCGAAGGTAAGGAAATCACAATTATCTATGCAAAATACAGTAGAGCAATTCTGGAACCTGTTTGCGCTGTATCCAATTACTTTTTGAAATCTAGGAATCTCATAGCTGCACTATATATGATCGGTTCACGATGTTTGATTGCTGATCTGCATCAGGTTAATCAGTTAACCGACAATATATACGAACTTTACACCCCAGGAGCTACATCACGGCTGCGGCTAGACGTTGTATTCTTTCATGGCCTACAATTGGACAACACCTGTGATGCTCACTTATCAACATGGACGTCATCTGATGCTCACTTATCAACATGGACGTCACGCGGTTCTAAGGAAGTATGGCCGATGATCTGGCTCCAGGAAGAGTTTCCAGAAGCTCGTATTCTCTGTGTCAAGTACGATGCTCGTACCACTAGATCAGCAGAGTATGGAAGATTAGATCTCCACAACGCAGCCGAAAATTTGACTGTAAGTCTTATACATGCTAACGTGGGTCAGCATCCAATTATACTCGTCGGTCACTGTTACGGAGGCTTGTTGATCAAACAATTGTGCCTCCAAGCTCACATGAGCGAAACCTTGAGGGGAAGAGATCCTGAATTTCTCAAATGCGTCAAAGGAGTTTTCTTCTATGGAACGCCCCATCGCGGATCGTCATTTTTTGAGAATGTACCATTTTCCGAGAATGTAGGAGTCTTGAGAGATGCGAGCCCTCTACTCGACTTTGTGAAGGTGCTTTGCGCAGACTCAGCTCGCCTTCATGAAAACTTTGATTCGTTACGTTCGACTCACAAGTGGAGAATTGCTGGAGTCGGAGAATTGCTGGAGTCGGACATTCTGAAGGTGCTTTGCGCAGACTCAGCTCGCTTTCATGAAAACTTTGATTCTTTACTTTCGACCCGCAAGTGGAGAATTGCTGGAATCGGAGAATCGCATACTGACTTTTATAAGTGTGTGGCTGCTTTGCGTTCACAATATGACATGTTTGTTTTTTATTTTACTCTTCATGATTTTAGCCTGCTGAAACAGCAGCATCAATTCTGCATCAACATATCATGGTTCGGAACCCAGTTCTTTTATGACTTTGTTCGGGTATAATTTACAAAAGGTACTGATGGGGTTCATGAACTTGGCTAAATTCCGGTTTCATTTTTTGGAAATCCATCCACCACATAAGAAGCTCAAATAACGAGTCTGACCAGTGGTTTGTTCCAACATGTTTCCGAAGTATAGGATGGGGAGAAGGTGATGATTGTACACGAAGCTTCAGCTCGGTACGGAACCGAGTTCACTATGGAACTGGAGGATCATTTCTCTCTCTGCATGCCCTGGAGCAGGAGCTCAAACACTTATATACGGTTGACAGAGTTCATTCAACGTATCCGTGAAGATATTTATAGTTATAAGGTTCCTCACACAAACATATCCTCCTTCTTGGCAGTTTGTATTTTTCCTCAAGAACAGCAAAGATTAGCCCATGATACCCTCTTTTGGATGTATGGATTTCAAATTGTGGCTTTCAAGCAAGAGGCAATTCTAGTTGGGTGAGATTCTTCCTGGCCTACAGATCTAAATTGCTTTTGGCTACTGTGGTTGGATACAGGGGATGCGAAATCGTTCTGATCTCCAGATGGTGCCGAAAATGGCAATTATCCTACTTCGGAAGTCTCTCCTCTTCGAAACCGTTCGAAACTTCTTAGGCGCAAATCCATTAGTAGGTCTTCACGGCATGGGCGGTGTAGGGAAGACAACTCTCGCGAAGATGTTATTCAATGATTTGTGTGCGGAATTTGAATGTACTTGTTTCATTCCAGGATTTAGGCTGAGGGGAGATTACAAGGAGATGGAAGACATTCTGTATTCGTCGATGTATCACCATGGTCAAAAGATTGAACAAGGGAAACTGATCCGGGATAGGATTGATCCGACACAGACAAGACTTCTCCTAGTTTTGGATGACATTGATGATGTCCATGTCGAATTTCTCTGGGAGATATCTTCGAAGTTTGATTGGGTAAACAGTCGTTTCATTTTTACTTCTCAAAATAAGGAAATTTTGGATAGATGCATTGTGAACTCGCGAGATCAAGGTGGTGAAGCATGCGTGTTTGACGTAGATTGTTTGAGTCACGAGAAGTCAAAAGAGTTATTTATGAGCCACGCATTTCCTTTTCCGACCGAACCGAGTCCGTCAGTGACAGAATGGATAGACAAGATTGTTGCGAAATGTGAAGGACTACCATTGACCTTGGAGGTGATGGGCAGTTATTTGAAAAAAAAAGACGATGAGTATATATGGATAGATTGTCTATTGGCTCTAGATAAAGCAGAAAATATAGCCAATTTTAGAGAACGGTTGTGGTTGAAATTACAAGTAAGCTACGACCGTTTAAATCCTATGGAACAGGAAATGTTCCTTGATGCTGCGACTTTGTTCTGCAATTCCACCTGGAACCTGCAAGAAGCTAAGACTTGTTGGAGTGTGCTCTATGGCTTTGAACATATACGATGGAAGACTCTGGTAGATTTGTCTCTTGTCTATGCTGTACGCGAAGAGGATTGTATACAGATGCACGAGCAAATGAGGTCTCTTGGAATGAAATTGGGAGGTAATCGCATACGAAGTATCTTGACTAAAGAGAACTTATCGAGTTCGTCCATCACTCCTATGAATACTGAGGTATGCGACTATGTTAAAAAGCTCCGACTATCAAGATTTCGTCTTCTCTCTAGAGTACTTGAAGTGTTGTTTGTTGATGTAGACCTTTGAATTTCACAATACTTGGACTTGTATTTCGCTTACTTGTTGGTTTTTGTATTTCGTTGAACTTTCCTCTTGACTTGTCGTAAACGGCCATTTCAAAGATTCATTGCCATTCCTGGTGGATTCACATACTGCTTTCTCAAACTCAAAAAGCTGTCTGAGCATATCTTATGACTTCCCTTAGAAGTGTCTTTGAAAGCATTTCACTGTCACTCAGCGAGCTGCTTTTCAAAATAAGCAATATGTGTTTATAAAGTTGCAACCTTCTTCAGAAACTTAATTCGAAGTGCCTCGCTAGCAATCAATGTATTGGTTTTGTGAGTCCAAGAAACGATCAAACAACCCTCTTTTCATTATGTCATTGATAGCACACTTTCTTTTTACCTCAAGGGATTCATCAAGTAATATAGTCGGCACACAACTTTATTGGGTTTGTTCATCCTGACCCTATTTGGACTTTGAATCGAGCAGTGTCTTGTTGGCTTTCCCTTATCGAGCATCACCGCCAGGCTACAAACAAGTTGTTATATTCATGGAATCTATTGAGCCTGTGATCTACGACGGATGGTCCTACTCACTCAATTTGGGCTTTCCTGTTAAGGATATCATTGACTTTCAACCTGAAGACTGGATGTTATTGATCATGTGAAATGCTACAAGTCTTCTAGGTCAAGTTTAGATCTTGGATTCTACAAATGGCCTGGGATGTGAACTAGGCCTTGGGTGTTTCGATGCAGGAGGTCATAGCGCTACGACTTGGAGGTTGCATGCCCCTCGACGCGAGTCATATTTTCCAGATGAAGAAGCTGCGATATTTGGATGTCGAGGAGGAGTTGATGTGTGGTGAGGACGACGTCATATTTCCATCGAGCGTGATCCTTCTTCGAGTGAGAGGAGAAGTGAACATTCTTCGACTGAGAGGAGAAGTGAACATTCATGATGACCTGGTTCCTGACTGTTCATTTCTATGTTCACTTCTATGTTCACTTCACTTCACCGATGGAAACGTACATCTTCCGGGCTGTTTGGTTGCTTTGGACTTGAAGGCACCATTGACATATTTGCCAAGAACCGTCACCGAGAACCGAGACCTTCAAGTTTTGAAATTCGAAGACTGCCTCTTCGAACGTCTTCCCAAGACGTTCGTAGAATTTCGCAGGCTTCGTCATCTAACATTTAGCAGTTGCAAGGAACTGCGTTCACTCCCCGAAGATTTCGGACGGTTCTCAGAGCTGCGTTCTTTGGAACTTCATCATTGTTATAAGTTTGAAGCATTGCCGGACTCGTTTGAGAACCTCCACAGCCTGAAGAATTTGATGATGGTGTCACTACACAATCTTCAAAAATTGCCCGAGAATTTTGGAGCTCTGTCCAAGCTAGAAAGTTTGAAAATATCAGATGCGCATACTATCTATAGATTGCCTTACAGCTTTGGCAGGCTCACTCAGCTGCGAGACCTGTATCTTGATAATATGTCTAACCTCCTAGCCTTGCCATCTTCCTTTGGGAAGCTTTCGCAGCTGAGGCGTTTGTCAATGGTGGGTTGCATGATGAAATACATGTTGCCGCAATGTTTTGGAAATCTGCTCAACCTGACCATCTTGGACATCCGCGACTGTCGCAGCCGTATGGTCTATCCAGGCTCCATCCATGTTATTCGAAGACTTCCAAAACTAAGGTATCTGATAGTCGAAACTAATTATCCAAGAAGTAAGTCCGAGGAGACTAGCTATCTGTCAGAGAGTCACTTTCGGGAGTTGTGGCTCAGTGATAGTCGCCAGTACTATTCACATGTTCGCACGTTCACTAATTCTGTCACCCTCAGTGATAGATCTGATCTATCTGATCTGATAGATTTCTGATAGATTATCATCTATCAGAAAGTGAGTTGCTGAAGTTGTATTCAAAAGCTGAGGCTGCAACCCATACTTTTCCTATACCTGCTGAATTGCAGAATTATATCAACAACATATCATCATCAAATGTGAAGGTCCAAATGATGTTTAAATCAAAAAGTGAAGCCTGTTTCATTTTTAGATGTTGATGTGTTTTATTTTCATTTTCATATATTCCATCGATTTTATTATTATCGATTTTATAGGTGTAAATTGTAATACTTGAAATTATCATTTAATTTGAAAAAAGATGTAACGAATATAATGTAATTGATATTTTTTTATTATACACTCAATTTATGTTATTAAAAATAAATTCTTGTAAGGTAAATTTTCATAAGACTAATACATCGAACTTAAACACATAGTAAATTGTAAAGTAAATTTGAACTTTTTCTTGTAACTTGACCCATATCATGTCTATTGTAAACATAGATCATGCATATTTTGTGATTAAAATATTCTCTATTTGTTTTATGTGTGTTTGTAAATGTTCCAGAGAGTGATTCATGAAGATATTTGTATATGTCTCTATATAAAAAAAAACTACAAATAATTTTTTCAGGTTTTTTATAATATTTTATTTTTACATTTTTTAAAAATTTATTTAACTATATTTATCTGATACATAAAGAATCTAAATGTTACATTTAATGCACATATCAAATAACATAATTACACTTATGTGACCTATAACAACATTATATTTTATGTTGTTTAAAAATAATACAAGTTATATTTTTCTTTTGTGTAAAACTTGTAGCCATCAATATAGCTTTGATTGTGTTGTTTTCTTATACTCTAAACTTCAAAATAACATAAATTTTTTTCAAATGTAATATCTCAACGAAATTTTGACCGTCCTATAATTTATCTTTCCATGAATACTCAAAAAATTTCAGAGTCTTACTACAAATGATTTGATTCACACTGTACTAAGTATAGCCCTGGGGCCCAAGGTGCAGAGTTAACTTTTGGTAACTATAAAAATCATTGAAGATATAAGATTCAAAACTTTGGCTAAATATAAAATCTTAACCTGAATTAAAAATTATAATATATCTCACCTTCCATTCTATAATCACTAAAAATCTTAGATAATACTTTATAAAAATAATGTTGATCTCTAAATACACTTTTTTTCCAAAATAACATGTTTAGGTGAACAAAATGTACAAACTAACCTTTAAGAGTTCATAAGAGAATATTGAATACACATAGAATATATTACTCTCCAATCTTCCGCTGTCTTTTTTTCTAACGTCAATATCATATGTACTTTTAAAGTCATCTTCTCTAGGGCAAGAAATTGAATTTTAAATATTCTATTTCAAGATTGAACTCCCAAAAAAAAGTGATTTGTGAGCTAGTTTTCACTAAAATTTACCTGAGATGTATTGTCTATAGTTCACAATGTGTCTAGAATATTAATATATATCTTCATGTCCGGATCACAAATACACTCTTATAGAATCTTTTCATTTATCACTCGATATCACACATTGACATTTCAAGATGCTTGTAAACAATGCTTCATAATTTTTGGAATTTTATTATACATTATAAAATAAACCAAAAATAAATTTGGCAGAATCCATAAACTAAGTACAACGTGTTTGTCCCAATGATTTCACTTATTTTTTTGTCACGCAACATGCTAGAAAATGTATGACTAAATCTCATACAACCTTGAGCGGCAAATTACAACTTTTATTTGTTTCAGGTATCACACGATTCATTGCATCAACTCAGAGCTATGAAGGTTAAGAAATACTTCACTTCATCTCAATACAAGAAGTCATTTTTATTTCAACTTCAGATCATTGAAGTTGATACGAGTAAGAAAGTTATTACCATTCATGTTCAATTTGTGTTCACCACGACAAAAGAGAGTTGGAATTCTCTTGAAGTGACAAGTCTTCTCAAAGTGAAAGCCTCTAATAGAGACTTCCACTTGTAGTAGGAACCACCTCATTATAATCAAATTAACCCCCATTAAATCCCATTTATGTGGCCTCAAAGACATCGGATTAAACACTAAAACCAAATAAAACCCACAGGAGTTAACTGCGCTGTGCCAACCATGGTCAATATTCACTTTCAATGATATTTTTCCTATGCATGTTCATTGTTTGCAGATGTTATCAATAAAAAATATCAAGCAACATCAACCAAAACTCTTCATAGCTTGCACTTCTGTCATTAATTCTATGTGTTAGTTCATTTACTTTTCTAATAAATAGAATATTATTTTTATATAAATTTAAAGCCTTAAAAATCATAATAAATTCTAATATTAAGAAATAATTTTTGCAGGCATTGTAAAGATAGATAGATATATATCTATAATTAATTTTATTACATTCACTTTGTTCATGTTATTGATCTTTTAAAAATCAGTCTAAATTTCGTCAACTTTCATCAATATATCAAAATTATTATCATCAAATTAGTTGGAGTCTATGATACCTGCAATATCAAGAACATTGATTAATCTTCCTAGTCTTATGATACTTCATTCAAAAATTATTTATGTTTTACTTAAATCTCCCAAATGTCAACACAGTCTATGGCATTAAGTTTGCATTCAATTCTTGAATGATCTAACTTTACTTTCAAGTATATTCAATTAAAATAGAAATAGATAAATAAAAATAAATGACTGATTAAAATCTACAATATATATTTTAGTTAATTTTTTCTATGGACTTTTGTAAATTATCTTATAAATATACTGTCTTGATTGATGCTGATTGTCAAGAACTGATCTTCAAAAATTCGGAATATTTTATTTCATGATTTAATCATTAGAATAAGTCGAGAAAAGTTATCTACAAACTTCTAAGACCTTTTCATCATTCAATTATTCATGCACATTCTGCATATATGCATGTTCCAAATCTAACATGCTTACGATGAATATGATGCAACAATACATTTCATAAAGAAAGATTACAAATTCAAAAACTTTTTGCTTAGAAAGAATAATCAATCAGATCTTATAGGAAAGATTTTGGAACAAATTTGATACATTGAGCATGCAAAACATGGTAAAAATTTCAGTCAATGAGAAATATTGGTTACTTTGAAATCTGTTTTGCAATATCAAGTGTGGTACTATGAGAAAATTATTTAAATTACACATATCATTATAAATATTTGAAAGAAAAGATTAGCTAAGAGACGGTTCGAAATGAACATGTAAAGCTTTTGTAAAAAAATCATAGAACAAATAAACCTTCCAAATAATGAAAAATTAAAGAGTAAATAAATATGAAAAGTAAAAAAATATTAATATCATCAAAGAAAAATTCGTAAAAGAAGTCAGACTTTAAAATAGGATCAATAAGAAGAAAGTTGAATATATGTCATTGATCAATGTAGCATTTAAAAAAAAATGATGATATGCATGTGCAAACTTTCATATGAACTTAAAAAAATATTATCTGAAAAACTTCGTGAAAGTTTTTTTTAATTGATGTGTTTTGCAAAACAATTCAAAATAACCTATCATAAAATTTGTGAATCAATATTAGGAATATTTTTTAAAACAATTCGGGATTATCAGCTTATTAGTTCAAACTAAATCTGCAATCTAGCAACGATTGGTAAATTACTAAAGGACCTTAGAATATAGTTGCTTCTTTTTCATTATTATTTAAATATAACTATTATCCAAAAAAATTAAACATAAAATTTAATGATATATTGTAAGAAGGATGATATTATATATATACATTTATTTATTTATTTATTTAAGATAAAAAGCTAGTTGATAAAGATCAGAGTCTGAAAATAGATAATCGTATGTAGCAATGTACAATAAGAGTACACAATTTTTAGGTTGTTGAGATTGATCGTATTAATAGCAAAACACTAAAGATGTGAAAGGTATGCTTTTCCAATATCAAAGAGTTACAAGGTTTGAATACATGTTTTCATGTAAAATGCATTTTGGGAGTGAACAGAAGTTTTTTCAGGATAAACTTCTTTCATAATAATTGTCTTTTACATGTAAGAGGTGTGCTGGAATGAAAAGATGAACGCATAAAGGATTGAGATAACATGACAAAGGGAATTGGACGTATAGATTATTCTAGGAAAAATGTAGCATAATGGTTTATAAAAATTGTATAGAGTATTTCATACACAGATGAATGTAAGATCTGTTGATCTTTAGTTTGTCTTTTTCTTCTTCTTTTTTACCATCATTGACGCAATTTGTTCAGAAATTTATTTTACATGCAGAAATATGCTAACAAAAAAATATAGAACCAAAAAAAAATTGCATCAACATGATCTAAACCTATCAATTGAGATTTCATTAAACCAATTCTTTAGCAGATGAATATAAGATTTGATGATTCAGAAATACGATATAAAAATGCATGTAATAATTTTCTGATGACGTCTGAATATCAGTAAATGATAACCAAATAATAATAAAAAATGATCTGAAATTCAATGATTTTTAAGAAATTCAAAGCAAAAACTTATTTCATGTATATCATAGTTGAAAAATTTAGCCCAAAAATTTTATGTTTAAGACGTTAGGAGACTCTTCTCTTCTCTTCTCTTCTCTTCATGTAATGCTAGTATGAAAATTAAATAGACTACAATATGCACATAAAAAAAAAATATTTCTATACTAATGTTTTCAATTAGATTCAGACTTTTCGTTGCAATTATTCTTTCGGTCTGATAATTATTGTAAAAATCAATTTTTTAACTATAGATAGAATACTCAAATAATTTTTCTTAATTTTTCTTGAAAACGTTTAAGCGTCAAAATATTGTACTTTGTACATAATTATAATACTAAAACAAATGAAAAATTTAAATTTTTTTCCCAAAATTTAAATTACATGAAGAATACTTTTCACAATAATGGAATTTCAAAATGATTTATTCTGTCATATCAAGTCAAATTAAATAATTTTTGGATTTCGGATTCCACTAAACATCGATAGGAGAAATTCTTATGATATTAACACAAGCTCAATATCATGATCTTAAATGTTAAACTAAATTCGTTTCAAAACATACTTTATAAATGTTTAGAATATCTTTTGTAAAAAATTTGTGTAAATATTGGTCACCGTCTCAATATGAGTTTTATCCTGTCATCACATTATTAT